CACCTTAATGCTTTAATGATGCGAGCTAATTTAAAATATAAAGAGAGGGCTGAGGGCACAGGATTGCCTAGCATGTTTGAAGCCCTGGTTCCCACCCTCATACTGAAAATGCAAAGTAAAACAAAGAACAGTAGAGATCTAAAATACTAATCAGAGTAACACTCTACTCCATGGGCAAATTATGATCTGCAGTCTTTTTTCTCCCCCAATGCATCTGCAAGCTAAGAATGGTTTTTACATTTTTAAACAACTATAACAATAAAGCATATGGAATGAAGCATGCAGCCAGCATGCTAAAATATTTATTATCCCTCCCTTTACAGAAAGCCATTGTGCCTTCCCTATTTCATAATGGAATTTTGTATCTGTCACTAAGTATCTTGCCATCTTAAATTTTACATTTAAGGTAACTACATGATTTTTCTCTCCACTCTCCTCTGCCTAGCTCTGTTTACAAGCCATTTCTACACAGGTATTTCTGCAAATATTTATTATAATATTCTGGGGAGGGAAAAAATAAAAGGCTTACACTGTCTAGCTTTTAATAACAGGCAATCCAGTATGTTTTTCCAATAATGAGCTTAAGTTCCCCCAATGAATTAGCAAATTAGTAAACTGAACCTACGTTGACCAGAACTCATGATTTACATCAACTTCTCTATTTGCACACAACCAACACTGGAGGAAGCAGGGAAAAAGATCTTTTTCCAAAGCTAACTAACTAAATTGGATTATATACTTCTGGTGTCAACAAAAACAAATCAAGTATGAAATGGTGACTAATTCAATAAATGTGGGGGATACCTGTGACAAGTCAGTAAGTTCTGCACTACTTACATAATGCCACACGAAGTCAAGGTATGGGGATCCCCTTAAACACTTTTGCCAAGAAAAATAAAAGTGAAAAAAGGAAAACCACTTCTAACACTTAAAGCATCAACGGTAGCCAGGCACCAATGGCTCACACCTGTCATCCTAGCTAGCTGGGAGGCTGAAACGGGGGAGGATATCAGCTTCAATTCAGTTCACACAGAAAAGTCTGCATCTCAGGGCTGGGAAGGTGGCTCAGTGGTAGAGCACTTGCCTTGCATGCCTAAGGCCCTGGGTTTGATTCCCCAGCACCACATAAGCAAAAAGAAAAAAGCCGGACGTGGAGCTGTGGCTCAAGTGGTAGAGCGCTAGCCTTGAGCTGAAGAGCTGAGGGATAGCACCCAGGCTCAGAGTTCAGGCCCCAGGACTGGACCTGAAAAAAAAGAAGTCAGCATCTCAATGACATGGTGGTAAGTATCTGTCATGAGACTGCAGCCAGAAGAAAAAAACAAAAATCTCAATTCAGGCACATTTCAATTTAAAGCAGGAAGCAACACCCCACCTCAAAAAAAAAAAGTAAAAGAGATGAAGCAATCTAGCAGTGCTACGGAAGTATTAAGAAAATCTGGCCAGGTGCCAGTGCCTCACGCCTCTAATCCTAGCTACTTAGAAGGCTGAGATCTGAGGATCATGGTTCCAAGCCAACCCAGGCAGCAAAGTCCCCATGAGACTCTTACCTCCAATTAACCACTCAAAAACTGGAAGTGATACTGTGTGTGGCTCAAGTGGTAGAGCACTAGCCTTGAGTGAAAAAGCTCAGGGACAGCACGCAGGCCCTAAGTTCAAGCCCTAGGACTAGTACACATACATTAAAAAATAAATAAATAAACTTGAAACTCATGTTTCTGTGAATGAGGGATAAACTACATATAATCGGATTTTACAAAGTAGTTCAAATAAATCCTTTCCTATGCCTTACTCCTTTTAAGAGCTACATGTGTTGAATTTTGAGTTTTTCTATGCAATGTTATTTGGGAGAAATAAGAGAATAATCTCAAAACAGTTTTAAGTCAAAATGCTTTTTAGATTTTGGGAGCTTCAAGGATAGTATGGGCTTCTACACTGTCATTCTGTCAAGGAAGAGGGATGCTTTATTCTTGTATTGCTTGTCTTGAATAACTTTACAACCATCCCACATCACTTGTTACTAACTGTGCTGAAATGAACTTAGTGCTTTCTGCTATGTGTTAGTCCTATGAATGAAGGATAAACTATGCCACTGGTGCCCGACATGACTTTTCTTTAAAAATAACAAGCTGGAAAGACAGGCCTGTAGCTCATGCTACTCAAAAGGCTGAGTTCTGAGATTGTGGAGCCAAGCCTGCTTGGGCAGGCAAGTCCATGAGACTCTTATCTCCAATAAAAACTACTCAGAAAAATCTGGAAGTGGCACCATGGCTAAAGTGGTAAGTGCTAGCCTTGAACACAATGAGGCTCAGGGACTGCTCAGGCCCTGAGTTCAAGCCCTAGGACTAGCAGGAAAAGAAAAGTCAGGCATTACCACTGTAAGTTTGATACATGCATTCACATGTTCTAGATGAGAAAATAATTAGAAATGCACTTTTTCTTAAGCCAGAGATCTTTTTAGTTCTTCATAGTAAATCTCTAAAATGGAAACCTACAAAACTTTCCATTTTGAATGTATTCGCTTTCTTTTCCTTCCTTTTTTGTTTTGGTGATGATACTGGGGTTTGAACTCCGGGTCTGGCACTTGCTACCACTTGAGCCACACCTCCAGCTCCACTCGAGACATTTTTTTAAACATGTAAACACATTTAAACTACTCTTTGCACATCTATCTATAACGGTTTTGCTATAGCTTCTAATAATGATAATTTAAATACATCATTAATTACTATACTATTTCCCCCTTGGTGGTGATACTAAGGTATACTCTGAGAAAGTGGCCCTTATCGAGCCAGGTGCTGGTGGTTCATACCTACAATACAGAGGCTGAGCCGTCTGATAACCCAGGTTCAAAGCCAGCCCAGGCAGAAAAGTCTGTGGGTCTACAATTAATAAAAAGGCTGTATCAGAGGCATATACCAAGTGATAGAGCTGCTCAAGTGGATCAAGGACCAGCCATGAGCAGAAAATGCAAGAGTGATAGGCCATGAGTTCAAGTTCCAGTTCCAGCACCAAAAAAGAAAAAGAAAAGAAAAAACTAGCACCGTGGCTCATGCCCATAATCATAGCTACTCAGGAAGTTGAGATCTGAGGATCATAGTTCAAAGCCAGCTAGGGCAAGAAAGTCCATGAGAGAAAAAAAAGAAAGAAAGAAAGTCCATGAGATGCTTTTGTTTTTTTGTTTTGTTGTGTTTTTTTGCCAGTCATGGGGCTTGAACTCTGGGCCTGAGCTCTGTCCCTCAGCTCTTCAGCTCAAGGCTAGAGCTCTACCACTTGGGCTACAGTGCCACTTCCAGTTTTCTGGTGGTTTACTGGAGATAAAGAGTTTCACAGACTTTCCTGCCTGGGCTGGCTCTGAACCTTGATCCTCAGATCTCAGCCTCCAGAGTAGCTAGGATTATAGGTGTGAGCCACTGGTGCCCTGCTTTCCATGAGATTCTTATCTCCAATTAACTACCAGAAAACCGGAAGTAGCACTTGTGACTCAAAGTGGTGGAACCCTAGCCTTGAACTAAAAGCTCAGGGATAGTACCCATGCCCTGAGTTCAAGCCCCATGATGAACAAAAATGAAATGAAACGCTAAGCAGCTCTTACACCATTGGTATTCTCTACAAGGGTGATCTGTTATGCATTTATATTGCACATTTACATTTATCAAGTGCTTCATAATTAGTTTAGTAGCTGTTTCTAATCCAAAACAACCCAAGAACTTCACAGAAGAGGAACCCAGGCTTAAGGAGGAACCAAAGAAAACCAATTTCACTGTGAAGGAAACAACACACCATTTTATAGGCAGATCCTCTATACCACTTCTCATCTGCAGTGTGAATTCTTCCAAATAAGTTATTAATGAACATAATAGTAATGATAGTATTGAATTCTAACAAAAGTGTTTAGACACTTTTTTTTTTGTCTGTTGGGGGGCCTGAACTCTGGGCTTGGGCGCTGTCCCTCAGCTCTTCAGCTCAAGGTGAGCGCTCTACCACTTGAGCCACAGCACCACTTGCTGCTTTTTCTGCTTATGTGGTGCTGAGGAATCGAACCCAGGGCCTCATGCAAGGCAAGCACTCTACCACTGAGCCACCTTCCCAGCCTTACACTTTTAAATATTGGGAAAACTGTTATTATTTCATGATATAGACACAGTTACAAGTAAAAAATTCTGCTAAATGACAAGCTTAAAGGGCTAAATAAGAAAACAAGTTATTTGTTCACATCTGATTAAAAGAAGGTAATCAAAGAGGTTTATCGAACAAATTTAGATAGGTCCTGACATAATAAATTAGCAATTGGGCCCCTTTATATATATTTATATAATCAACCAGAGCCCAGCTAAAGGATTGTAGACAGTGGAAGGCAGAATGGGCTGTTGAGCAAGCTCAGCCAAGGCACCTTTCGGAAGAGAATGGTTCTAATCACCACTGTGGTTTTAATCAGTGCGTTATCTCATCACCGTCCTAGGTTTTGCGGGGTTAATCAAAAACTTGAGCCACACACAGCTTGGAGGTGCAGAAAAGTTCCCGGCTGGCCCCGGATGAAGCCTCGCTTTCTCTCATCTGGGTGTGACCTCCCGGCGAGCCGGCCGGCGGGATTACCCTCGCCCCCGGCCCTGCGGTCCACCCGAGCAGCCTCGCCGCGCGGTCCCCCCGGGCGCCGGGAGAGCAAACGCCCCCTCAGCCCCTCCCGGGGCCCAACTCCGTGACCCACATCCCCACACCCGGCCCGGAGCCCCACACTCCGCACCCCCAATTGCACTTCCGCTCGGGTGGCTTCCCAGCCTGCCCTCCCCCAGCCCCCACCCATCTTTGTCTCTCCCCACGCCCCGCGGGCTGCCGCCTCCCCACGGCGGCCGACCCCGCCAGGCCCCCCACCGCCGCCCGCCCGCGGCCCCGGCGGCCCCGCGCCCTCCCCCCGCTTCCTCCGCGGCCCGGCCCGGCCCCGCCGCCGCGGCCCTCCGCCCACGCCCACCCCGCGCCCGCCGCCGCCGCCGCGGGGCCCGCACCTTGTCCATGAGCTTCCAGCACTTCTCCACCATCTTCTTGTCCACCGCGCCCGGAGGGTGCGGGCTGAGGTGGTGGTGGTGGTGGTGCGGCTGGAAGGCGTCCTTCATGAGCCCGATCAGGCCGCCCGCGCCCGAGCCGCCCGAGCCGCCGCCGCCCCCGGCGCCGGAGCTCTTCTTCACGTTGCCCGCCATGGCCCGGAGAGGATCAAGGGCCCAGCGGCCCGGCCGGCTCCGCTCGGCCGCGAGCGAGGGGAAGGCGCGGGGAGCGCAGGAGGGGGCCTCTCCGGGCAGCTGCGGCCGCCGCCGCCGCCGGCTCCGGGAGCTGAGGGAGGAGCGGCCGCGGGGAGGGGAGGGGGCGGTGCCGGGGACGAGGCGCGCCCCTGCGGCGAGCGCGAGCCCCGCGGGGACGCGCGCCGCGGCCTGGCTGCGGTCGGGCGCGTCCTGACGAGGCGGCGACCCCCCGACCGCGCGCGCCCGCAGCTCCCGGAAAGCCGCGGCCCAGCCCGAGCTTCCGCGCCTCCCCCTACCCACGGAGGCGAGAAGGGGCGGGGCCACATCTGGGGGCGGGGCCGGCTCAGGGCGGGGCTAGGAAAGCCGGCGCTTGCGCCCTCTGCCGGCGAGGCGGGGAAGGGAAGGGGCGGGGCCCAGCATGGAGTCTGCGCAATGAGCAGAAGCCGGAGCTCCATATTCTTTGTGGGCAACGAGAGTTCCGTATTCCGGGGAGTGGGGTCATCACAACGTTGCAGTTCAGCCTACGGAGCGTCGGAAAGAGAATCACCGTCTTTTTTCCACTTCTGACAACTATGGAAATCGAGGCTGCGGTTATTTGCATCTCGTTGTGGGAAAATGGTGGGAGAACAGGAATAGTGTTTCTCCACCGCCTAGCACTCAAACTCTTCACTAAGACGCAGAAAGTTTAATGCCCTGGATGGTCGGAGCCTGATTTGGCCTGAGGGAGGCTTGAAGGCACACTAAAACTTTAGTTCCGCCTTCCGGATCTTTCATCTCTTGGAAACCAAGCGCTTTTTCTCCTCCTCCAGCTCCTCCCTTTTTCTTTCTTCTTCTTTTCTCTCTTCCCTTTCTGATCAGCTCCTTTTCTGAGAACTGAAGTTGTACTTGATGCTCAGCGCACTGCACCACAAGTCTGCAATCCGACACCCGCCCCCAGAGGCCGCGAGCCAGAGCAGGGTTCTCACCCTGACCCTGCGAACAGACGTGCAGTTTCCAGCGCTCTCCACTTCTCTAATCTAAAAATTCAGTTGGAAGAACTCCAAAAGTAGGAACTTCCTTTGCAAAGAAGGAAGCCACACAGCCTTAATTCTAGTTCTAAGCCTCGACTGTGGTTGTAAGTTTGAACGCTCAGAAGTGTCAATAGGAATGAGTTCCGCTGGTTCAGGGGCTCCTTCCTGACTCTTCCACAAAGCCCTTGACTGATAAGGCATTTGAATTTATCTGGTACTGCCGCAAGAGGGGAAAAATATCTCAGAACTCAAGGACCAACATTCATTCAGCTAGCTATCTTGGGTTTGCCTATCAATCGCCTTTATCTAAGACTGATTTTTAGAGCCTACATTATCATTTCCTACCAATAGAAAGTCCTTTTATCAGTTTCTACCTAGCTAAAGTTAAAAGGATCTACCAGAGAAAAATCTAGAGAATCCTTTTGAAATTCTCAAAACTTGCAAACCTAGTGCTACCAACCTAGTAGCAGGCCCTCCATTTTTTAAAACCTATGTATCTGGCTGGGAAGGTGGCTCAGTGGTAGAGCGCTTGCCTTGCATGCCTGAGGCCCTGGGTTCAATTCCTTAGCACAACATAAGCAAAAAGAAAAAACCCGGAAGTGGCGCTGTGGCTCAAGTAGTAGAGCGCTAGCCTTGAGCTGAAGAGCTGAGGAACAGCGCCCAGGCCGAGTTCAGGCCCCACGACCGGACCCAAAAAGAAAGAAAGAAAGAAAAAAAAAAAAACCTATGTATCCCTGGCCTCAAACAACAATTTCCTGCTATGGCCTCCCAAGTGCTGGGATTACAGGAGTTGACCACTATACCCAGCTCCAAATAACCAGCTAAAACTAGAAGTGGAGGTATGGCTGAAGTGGTAGAGCATCAGCTGCAGAAAAAAGCTAAACAAGAACAGAAGGCCCTGAGTTCAAGCCCTAGCACCAGCAAAAAATAAATAAAACAATGAATAACCTCAATCTTGGAAGCTTGTGGGTGAGCTTTCTGCTACCAGACTGATAAACTGGGCTCTGAGGGCTCTCAGCATTCTCACTGTAATATTCCAGGAACTACAGAATACCATGTTATAGTTTGGATTTTTTTTTTTTTTTTTTTTTTTGTGGGTCCGGTCGTGGGGCCTGAACTCTGGGCCTGGGCGCTGTCCCTCAGCTCTTCAGCTCAAGGCTAGCGCTCTGTCACTTGAGCCACAGCGTCACTTCCGGCTTTTTTCTTTTTGCTTATGTGGTGCTGAGGAATCAAACACAGGGCCTCAGGCATGCAAGGCAAGCGCTCTACCACTGAGCCAACTTCCCAGCCCTATAGTTTGGATTTTAAATGTCCTCCAAGAGCTAAGAATGTGGCTTAGTGGTTGAGTGCTTGCCTAGCACACATGAAGCCCTGGGTTCGATTCTTCAGTACCACATAAACAGAAAAAAAAAAAAAAAAACGGAAGTGATGCTGTGGCTCCAGTGGTAGAGTGCTAACTTTGAACAAAATAAGCTCAAGGACAGTGCTCAGGTCCTGAGTTCAAGCTCCAGGATTGACAATAAATAAATAAAAGTAAATGTCCTCCAAAAGCTCATGTTCTGAAGGTTTGGTTCCCAACTAATTGCACTATTGAGAGATAGTCAAAACTAAGAGATCTAGATTCCATATTCAAGCTGTTTGTCTTTTTGAGCTTGGCTTATCTAGAGCAACACGAGACTCTCCACTTCCTTCCATTTTCCTTAAAATGGTGTAATTTCCTTCTTGACAGTGAACATGCCATTGTACCACATTTTCATTATTATTATTAGTTTAGAAATCACTAATAGTGGGGCTGGGAAGGTGGCTCAGTGGTAGAGCGCTTGCCTTGCATGCATGAGGCCCTGGGTTCGATTCCTCAGCACCACATAAACAAGAAGAAAAAAGCCAGAAGTGGCGCTGTGGCTCAAGTGGTAGAGGGCTAGCCTTGAGCTGAAGAGCTGAGGGAGAGTGCCCAGGCCCAGAGTTCAGGCCCCATGACCGGACCCAAAAATAAATAAATAAAAAGAAATCACTAATAGTAGTGGTGGTATGACTCAAAGTGATAGAGCACTAGCCTTGTACAAAAAAGCTCAGGGATAGTACCCAGGCTCTGAGTTCAAGCCCCATGACTGACAGGACAAAAAAGTCATTAATAGTACAAGGAGTGAGCCAGGTGCTAGTGCCTCATACTTGTAATCCTAACTATTCAGGAGGCCAAGATCTGAGGTTTGAGATTAGAAGCCAGCCTGAGTGGGTAGGGAAGTCTGTCAGAGTCTTATCTCCAATTAATCACTAGAAAGCTGGAAGTGGAACTGTGAGCTGTGGCTCAAGTGAAAGAATGCCAGCCCTTGAGGAAAAAAGCTAAGAGACAAGGCTGGGAAGGAGGCTCAGTGGTAGAGTGCTTGCCTTGCATGCATGAGGCCCTGGGTTCCATTCCTCAGCACCACATAAGCAAAAAAAAGCCGCAAGTGGCACTGTGGCTCAAGTGGTAGAGTGCTAGCCTTGAGCTGAAGAGCTGAGGGACAGGGTTCAAACCCCATGATGGACAAAAAAAAAAAAAGCTAAGGGACAGCTCCTGGGCCTTCAGTTTAAACCCTAGTACCAGGAAGAAGAGAGAGAGAGAAAAAGAGAAGTAGAAAAAGAAAAGTTGAGAGAACAATTCTATCTTCTCTTTGTTCTATAAAATATCCAAACTGGCTGGGAATGTGGCTCAGTGGTAGAGTGCTTGCCTAGCACGCATTGAAGCCCTGGGTTTGATTCCTCAGTACCACATGAACAGAAAAGACCAGAAAGTGGCACTGTGGCTCAAGTGTTAAAGTGCTAGTCTTGAGCAAAAGAAGCTCAGCTACCCAGGCCTTGAGTTCAAGCCCCAATGCTATGATGGAGGAAGAAAAGATGGAATGTAATATTTGACTTGAATTGTGTAAAATGGATAATGAATGATTTCAAGATATAAATATAACTGTGCTTTCTGTGGATAAGACTTCCCTGGTAACTAACTAGCTATTTTAGCTAGTAACTGTAACTCTGTAACCCTGTAACTCTGTAACTTTGCTTCTGCTATTTTCTGAACAATATGAGCCCTAATCCAGCGGAACCATCCCACCCTTTGTTTTATTCCCCTGCTTCCCTGCAAGGTGAGAGCAAAACCTGGGCGGGAAATTTAAACTTAAGATGTGAATTTCTTGTAACAATCATTGGCTAAAATCAACACCCAACCTCACCCTTTCCCTGCCCTAGCCAAAAATGCTTACAAGCAGATGTGGGCTGGCACTCAGGGCTGTTTTCTGGGATCCCCACTCCAGGTGCAGTCCTGGCACATCAACACTTTTTGCTCAATAAAATCTTTTACATTTTCATTGCAGACTGAGAAGTCTCATTGCACGACCCCACTACACCAGGACTGGCAAAAAAAAAAATCCAAACTGTCACAGAAGTACCCCCAATGCACATGTGTTGGTCTCTGCCTGAATCTCCCTGCTCCAGAGACAAGACTTTACACTCCAAGATCTTGTGTCTATTTCTGCAGATCTGCCGTGGACAGCAGGCAATTAACCAAAAGTATAAAGGAGGACAGGGATGGAGAGAAATACTGAAAGCAGGAGTCTGTAAGTTCTTTAATCCACCAAAAAGAAAAACCTTGATGTTCTGGCTCTTTTCATTCTAATCAGTATGGGGCCCGGAGAGCTGGGTGGCCGACAGATTGCACAGCTCCAGGATAGCCTCTGGCTAGAGGGAGGCTGGGGGCTGCCTGCTAAGAGCAAGCTGCCACGTATATTTGCCCCCAACTTATTTTTCAAACCATATGTGAACCTAGATGGATTCTAGGATGCATCCTCAAAAGGGCAAAGTGGTTCCAACACTGTGCAAAAATATTAAAAAGGAAAATTTGCAACTTGTGGGTAAAGATGGGAGGGACAAACTGGGAGAGAGCAAGGGAAGGGGTGACATTGTCCAAGAAGAAATGTACTCTTTACCTGATTTATGTAACTGTAACCGTTCTGTACATCATCTTTATAGTAACAATCTTTAAAAATAAATAAAAAAGGAAAATTTGAAGCTCAAGAGGTCAAGTTCTCTCCACTAGAGGGAGCCCCAACCAACTTTATGGTTACAGGAAGCTTCAATGTAGTTTCTCAACACCTGTCTGTTGATAAACCACTTAAAGATACTGGGGGGCGGAGGGAGGGGTAGGTAAGAGACAATACAGTAGATCACTGTGAGAGAAAAAAAAAGTGTCTTGTGAACACTCAACTAAACAGACTTTCTGGAGTTACTAAATCAAAGATAAGCAGACCAGGAAAGAAGCTGAATGCAGTTAAATTGCCACCCAAGTTCATGTATCCAGAGGGAACTAGAATTCCCAACTTTCTCCAACTGGTGCTCTCTTTTCAACATTTGCTTTCTCCTAATTCAGCACCCCGGAGCCTACAGGACCACCTCATATCTGTTCTCATCTCTCTGGAGCGTGAAACTTTCTTTTCTTTTTGAGTTAGTACAGGGGCTTGAACTCAGGGCCTCACATTCTTGCTTAGCTTTTTCACTCAAGCCAGACATCCACTTTCTGCTTTTTATTGGTTAATTGGAGATCTAAAAGTTTTATGCCTGGGCTGGCTTCAGACCAGCTTCCTCAGATCTCAGCCTCGTGAATAGCTAGGATTATAGTCATGAGCTACCAGTGCCCAACAAAACACAAAACTTTCTTGACTAGTTGCTCCAATATTTGTTCCCTTGTTCACTATAGAATATCTTTCTGAAGTTCTTTTTTAAAGTCTAATGTCATTTTGCCAGCGACTCCTCAAGATGCCCACGATGGCTACTTTTCCTCCATACCAGCAAGAGGAGCAAGCTGCCTCATACATGTTCATATCAGAATTGTCTAAGTCTCCAAATAACAGGCAGTGTCTATCTACAAGTGAGCCATAGCTAATCAACTCCAAGCCCTTTCTCTTCAAATGATATTTCGGCTTTGCGGGGGACAAGGGTGGAAAGGGTACTTCAAGACCTATGGATTTTAAGCATTGTGAGCTGATTTAGCCTGTGCCACCATCCTATAAACTTGGTGTTTGCCAGTTGCCTGGACAACAGATAGCTTCTAGAAAACCAACAGTCTGAGCCCTGCTCTCCTCCCCTGGAGGAGGGGACCAAGTTTGCCATCCTTGATTGGCTACCAGAACCTAGGCTCCTCCTCGGGCTTTATCTGTGTGGGCTTCTGTCTGCCTGTCTGTGTGTATGGGTCTCCACAGGGAGAACACAAGAGAGGGGGTCTTACAGGTAGGAAGAGGTAGGGTAGGGAAGATGGGGAGAGAGAGAAAGCAAGCCATTTATTTTCTCTAAAAGAGGACCGGGAACATTGATTTTTCCACAGAGAGCTGGTGATCAGAAGATCAGGAACTGAAACTTCTGGAAAGTATGAGACAGACTTGCAGAGGAGAATTCTGATTCTGCTTCTCCTGAGATTCCTGCTTCCATCTAAGGGGTCATCTTTGGGTTTAGACTTACCCACAAGAGCCTCCCTCTCCTAGGAAAGCAAGGACATGCCACCTAAGATGAAAGAAAAAGGGAGGAAAGCTGCGGCACAAAAGAAGAAAAAGAACTCAGGTGCTGGTGAGTAGCTAGGTTGTTTTTTTGTTTTGTTTTTGTTTTGTGGGTTAGGGGTAACCCCAGCTTCTTCATGTCCTGGAGGAGAGACCAGGCAGAGGTCCTCAGATAGAATTCACTTAAGCTTTGTGAGCTGATTTCGCCAGTTTCCTGTGCCTGTAAACTCTGTTTCCCAGGTGTCTGCGCAACAGGTACACTCCAGAAACCCAACATTCCTGTCTCAGTCCCACCTTCTCCCCCGCCCCCCCAAACAAGCCCACTAGAGGGAGCCCCAACCAACTCTTTGCTTCAGGGACCAAGGCTGAGATCATGATAAACTAAGGCTTTGCCACCTTGCCAAGGCAGATGTGGAGACCGAAGCCAAGCACAGGCTGATGCTGCTGGAGAAGGAGCTACTTCGAGACCAGCTGGGTGAGAAGCATGAAGGGTGTGGGGGTAGCAGAGGTTTTGCAGGGACATTTCTCCTTCCCTCCTTCCTTCCTCCCCCCCACTTCCTTTCTTTCTGGTACTGGGGCTTAAACCCAAGCCTAGGCACTATCCCTGAACTTTTCGCTCAAGGCTAATACACTACCACTTGAGCCACAGCACCACTTCTGGCTTTTTGGTGGCTAATTGGAGAAAGAGTCACATACTTTCCTGCCTGGGCTGGCTTTAAATGGTACTCCTCAGATCTCAGCCTCCTGAGTAGTTAGGATTACAGGGGTGAGCCACCAGCGTCTGGCCTGCATGAGACATGGCTGTGTCCTTGAAAGCTTGGAGCTACAGTTTAAGGTTAAGCCAAATCCAAACTGTCTCTTCCTTCTGGGAGGAGGGCTGGGCAAACTGGGGCAGCTATTTTCCCCTCTGATTCTGGGGATCAAATCTAGGGTCTCACACATGGTGGGAAGCCTTGGAGCACTGAGCTATACCTACAGCCCAGGCAAACTTCATAGTGCTGAAGGGCCCCAGAGATTCTAGAGAGAAAGTGACCACTAATAAAGTTAAAGGTGGGACATCCTTTGGCTAGGTTTCCAGAGGTAGGCAAGAGTTACCAAGCCCATAGAGACTGATACTGGGGGACCCCAAGTCAGTTCTGGGCACAGCTCTTCTATTACCCACAGCTCTCCGAAGGGATGAGGCCCGCCGAGCCAAGGCTGCCAAAGACCTGATGAAGCAGAGGTTGCAAGGATTGGAGGTTGAACTAGAAAGGGCTCAGAGCGAAACGAAGGCCATATATGCAGGTAGGTGGTTGGCTAAACAAGTGGGCAGACACAGGTCCGGAAGAGAACAACCAAGACAGCCAAAGGATGCAGGCAAGGGAAGAGAAGAAGATTCTAACTGCCAGGCCTAGCTCAGGCTTGAAAAGGCATATCTCCCAGGCAGGGGCCTTCCAGATTGTGTAATACTGTATGACTGATGTTTTGTACAATACAAAAGGAAGCCAGAGCTACTGTTCATTGCCTGGGAGTGAGTGGAGCAAAGGGCCAGAATACCCATCCCAAGCCAGCATGAGGAGAGGGTCTGGCTTCCATCCCTTCCCCAAGTTCTTAGGGTCTCCCGGCGTCTTAGCATCACAAGAAAGTCCTCGTACTCCTGTCCCTCTGGACCAAACAAAGTCTTCCCCAGGTGACACTTCATTTGCTCTCTCTATGCCTTTATTTCAACCTGGGTTTCTGGCCGCCACCCCTCCCTGTGTCAGAGATGAGCCGCCAGCAACAAGCCCTGCAGGAGAAGATGGCGGCCCACAGCAAGCAGCTGGAGGAGCAGGCCAGGGGCCTTCAGGAGCAGCTAGGTAGCCCTCCCTCCATACCCGCCCCTTTCTCTCCAAGAGTCAATGACATCCTCCAGTGTGAAGAGGAGGACTTAGAAGATCCTTTTCTAGAAGGCTGAAATCTATTGGTGGAGTTTGAATTTGGATCCCTTTACACCTGTCTCCTCTGAGCAGAGGATACAGGATGGCAAGAACCTCTGAGGGAACTGGGAAGGTGGCTTAGTGGTAGAGTGCTTGCCTTGCATGCATGAAGCCCTGGGTTCGATTCCTCGGTACCACACAAACAGAAAAAGCCGGAACTGGCACTGTGGCTCAAGTGGTAGCCTTGAACAAAAAGCTCAGGGACAGTGCCCAGGCCCCAACTTCAAGTCTCAGGACTGGAAAAATTTAAAAAAAGAACCTCTGAGACATAGGTACAAAAAGTCATTTTCTTACTCTGTTTTCCCTTTTGTTTGGTCTCTCCAAGTTTTTGGCACTTAGTTCCCTCCCTACACTGCTTTGTCTCTCTCCTAAGCAGAACATACTGCCTCTTAGTTTAGCTGACTTACACTAGGAAACTAAAGGGAAATAAAAAGGCAAGCCAGGTCCCCTAGGGCTTGAACTCAGGGCTTATACTGTCCCTTAGCTTTTTTGCTCAAGGCTAGTACTCTATCACTTGAGCCACAGCTCCACTTCCAGCTTTTTGGGGGTGGTTTATTGGAGATAAGAATCTCCCAGGCTTTCGTGCCTAGGTTGGTTTTGAACTGCTATCTTTAGATCTCAGCCTCCTAAGTAGTTAGGATTACTGGCCTGGCGGGTCTGAAGCTCTTTACAGAATCAACAAGAAAGTCAATGACCCTGCGAAGGTCTGTAATGATCCCACACAGGGTGCCCCTGGAAACTGTTCAGGGCATAGCATAGTATCATCATCCTGTCCTTTCCAACCTTTTTGCCCTTTCGCCCAGAGATATGCCAGAAAAAGGCGAAGGCTGCAAGGGAAGAGGCTGAGCAAGCACTTGCAGAGAGAGACCAGATCCTGGCTCAGCTTCAGGCTCATGTGACAGACATGGAAGCCAAGTATGAAGAAATCTTACATGTAAGCACCACCCTCTGGTGGCCAGACAACTCACCAGCCAGTGTTCCTTCATGCCCACACCCCCAGCCAGTGTCATGGCTGACAATCCTGAGTGGATTGACTGCTCTATCCTGAGGGCAGCCAGAGAAGATACAACTGTAGTTTAAGAAAACACTGGCAGGGGGCTGGGAAGGTGGTTCAGTGGTAGAGTGCTTGTCTTGCATGCATGAGGCCCTGGGTTCGATTCCTCAGCACCACATAAGCAGAAAAAGCTGCAAGTGGTGCTGTGGCTCAAGTGGTAGAGCACTAGCCTTGAGCTGAAGAACGGAGGGACAGCACCCACAACCGACAAAAAAAAAAAATACTGACAGATGGCTGGAAATGTGGCTTAGTGACAGAGTGCTTGCCTAGCATGCATGAGGCTCTTGGTTCAATTCCTCGGGACCACATAAACAAAAAAGTCAGAAGTAGCTTTGTGGCCCAAGTGGTAGAGTGCTAGCCTTGAGCAAAAGATGCTCAGGGCCAGTGCCTAGGCCCTGAGTTCAAGGCCCAGGACTGGCAAAAACAAAACAAAACACTCACAGAGGTAGCCATGCCTCTAATCCTAGTATTCAGGAGACACAAGCAGGAAGACAAAAGTTCACAGCTGCTCAGTGCTGGTGGCTCATACCTGTAATCCTAGCTACCCAGGAGACTGAGAGCTGAGGATCACAGTTCAAAGTCAGCTCAGGCAGGAAAGGCCATGAGACTCTTTAATTAACCACTGGAGCTATGGCTCAAAGTGGTGTAGCACTAGCCTTGAGCAAAAACAGCTCAGGGACAGTGCTTGGGTTCTGAGTTCAAACCGTATAACTGACAACACACACACACACACACACACACACACACACACACACACACACACAGAGTTTACATAGCTCAAGGCCAATCCCGGCTACACATTGAGACCTACAAATAAATAAAATAAAAAATAAAATAAAACAAGGGCTGGAGATATAGCTCAGTGGTAGAGCACTTGCCTACCTAGTATTGATCCTCAGCGCAGGAAGGAAGGAAGGCAGGCACGAAGGCAGAAAGGAAAGAAGGAAGGAAAGGGAAGGAGGAAGGGAAAGAGGAGGAAGGGAGGGAGGAAAGAAGCTAATGGCAGTTGGCTACCATGATGCATGCCTCTGTAATTTCAGTACGTGGCAAGATCCAGTGAGTTAACTATATAGCAAGACCCTACTGGAAGGAAGGAAGGAAGGAAGGAATGGAGCGCGGGAGGGAAAGAGAGGGCACAGCCACTGGACAAGGAAAGCTTTCTAAGCAGCCTGGGGCAGCCCTCACCCCTGGCCTCTTCCCGGGAGCTGAAGCTTGGTGTCTGCAGGGCAGCCTGGACCAGCTCTTGGCCAAGATGAGAGCTGTGAAGCCGCAGTGGGATGGAGACGTTCTTAGACTCCATGCCAGGCACAAGGAGCAGCTGCGCCAGTTTGGGCTCAACCCTCTGGATATTTGAGACTCTCTCTCATCTCTGAGGCCCAGCAATAAAGTGTCCTTATGGAGAACTCAGCAACCCTGTGAGCTATGACCTTTAACAGAGAAGCGTAGCCCTTGTAGGCACACACATCTCAATTCCTGATTGACCCATCATCCTGGAGACTGAATGACAGGAAAGAAATATAACAAGGTCTCAACCATTCTTTTATGGAAAACTAGGTCCCACCTGTTGAGCCTGGGGCCCCGAGACCTTCTCCAGCCACCTCTGCTTATTCACTACCAACACAAACACAGACAGCCAAGTAAAAGGCTATTTTATTTTGGTTTGTTTTCTGCAGTTCTGGGGATAGAACTCAGGGCCTTGTATGTGCTACATAAGCGCTCTACCATGGAGCTACATCCCCAGCCTTGGAAAAGGCTATTTTTTCTAACAGGATTCAATCAACAGTGACCAGGCACCTGCCTCCACAATCCTAAGGTGTCCACAGAAGCAGGACAGAGGTGGTCTTCAAATTTGTGAGCAATAGCATGCTGGAGTCATATCTAGAGCAAGTTCCAGAAGGCTTCCATCCCAGGCAGTCCCCCAAGGCTTTCCTTTCTCATGAAGAACTTCTTCCTTGAGGTACAGCTCTCCAAAGCTCCACACACACTAAGCACTGGGGCCTCAGTCTCCCCACTAGGCCACCTGAAATCTCTGAGCATGCTCTCTGCTGGGAGGTAGGCCCATGAAGTGAGGGACCCTGGGGCAATCGTGGGTTTGTCCCATGAGTGGTGGTGTTCGTATCTCTCAAGGTGGTATCTTGTGAGATGATCCCTAGTGTCTCAGGCTGCAGCCTGAAGACAGGAAAGCCATTCAGTAGATCCGTGCCAAGCAGAACGGTTTATAGACTGGTGGGAGCCCAGTCCTACACAGAGAGAAGAGGAAGAAGGTCATCCTATGACCAGAAGAGTTCCTCCGCCCTAATCGATGATGTCCAGGACTGGGACATGCTCCACAGTTCCTTCTGTCTCCATCCTCGATGACTTGACGTCCCCACTGGCATATCCCACATTGTCTCCCCCCCCCCCCCAGCAGCCCTCCTACTCCATCCTTTCTGCCCTTCTCTGGCTGCTCCCCCCCAAAACAATCGTTTCTTCCTCCTCACCTCTCCAGACCCTGGGGAAATCCAGGCTTCTAAGCTCTGCTGAGTCCTGGCTGCCAGCGTCAGGCAGAGGGGTGGCTCCGCCTCAGACAGCTGCTGCAGCCTTTCTGGGCTGTTGTCTCCGCCCACAGCACACCCATTCACTTCCAGAACCACATCTCCTGTTTCCAGCCCTGCTCTGGCAGCTGAGCCTCCTGGGGTCACCTGGTGGTATTAGGTTAGGGGGGGAGCATTTAGAATGTGAAACACCATAGAAATATTCTTGGGTGTCGAGCACCAGTGGCTCACGCCTATAATCCTAGCTACTCAGGAGGCTGAGATCTGAGGATCACGGTTCAAAGGCAGCCTAGGCAGGAAAGGCCATGAGACACATCTCCAATAAATCACCAGAAAACTGGTGGTGCTGTGGCTTAAGTGGTAGAGCACGGGCCTTGAGCTGAAGAGCTGAGGGATAGCACCCAGGCCCAGAGTTCAAGAATTCCTGGGTGTCCTAAGGCTCTGGAAGGGAGGCAGAGGAAGGCTGAACAGTAGGCAAATGATGAAAGATTCTAACGCAGCCAGGCACTGGTGGCTCACACCTGTAATCCTAGCTACTTGAGAAGCTAAGATCTGAAGATCATGGGATTCCAAGCCAGCTAGGGCATAACAGTCTATGAGACTTTTATCGTATTCTACCCAAAAAAGCCAAAAGTGGAGGTGTGGCTCAAGTAGTAGAGCATTAGCATTTAGCACAACAGCTCATGGACAAAACTCAGGCCCTGAGTTCAAACTTCAGGACTGGCACTAAGAAAAACAAGGAAAGACTCCAAGGTTATGGGGCATCGGTCACCTGAGAGACAAACAGACAAAGTCCACTGGCCACACCGCTGAGTCGGAAGCCATAGCCACCACCAGGCCCAGGGTATAGGAAACACTGGCGGCACCCAGCAGGGCAGGGAGTCAAGGCTGTGTCTTCCACTGGTAGGTCCTCAGTCTCAGTCAGAGATGTTGAGTGAGGATCCCGGGAGGAGGCAGCAGTGTCCTTGTTCTCCAAGAAGAGGAGAGGTGACAGGCGAACCTGGAGGGGCAGAGGGAGCTCACCTGTGGCATCTGAGCTGTGAGCCATTCCTGCTCTCCCCCCCACACACCCCCCAAGCCCCGGCCCTCCCTGCACTCACCATGTTAAAGAAGCGGTCAGCCTCAGGGTCGAGGACAATGAGGGACACGTAAGTGCCCTGTGCTCGGATTCTGCACACTGTTTCCTCATGGCTCAGCCCCTCCACACTCTCCCCAGCCACAGCCACCAGCCGGTCCCCGTCCTGCATCCCAGCCTTCTCAGCCGGAAGTCCTGGGTCCACCTCCCACAGGAAGTGTCCTACCACACAGACAACCTCACTGCTGCTCTCCAGCTTGCACTGAGCAGTGCACCCCCCCCCATCGCCCTGTACCCACCGGGGGACGATGCCCAGCATAGACAAGAAGGGGAACCCCGCGGGTGGAGCTCAGATTGGGGACACTACACATTCGTGGGCCCACACCCGAAAACCCACCTTCCCCACTCCCACTCACCAAGGCGGCCATCAGGACCCTTCTCCTCCCGGAGCAGGAACCCGAAGCCCTGGGGCCCCTTCTCCAGGTGCAGACAGCGGGGCGTGGCAGGCAGTGCCCAGCCCTCTGCCAGGGGGGCGGCGAGGGGCATTCCCAGCTGGCGACACTGTTCTTCTACTTCTGGCCCTGCCACCAGCAGGGTCACCTGCTCTCCACTCTGCCAAAGCTGTGAGGACCCAGCAGAGGCATGAACATCCACCTGAGTGGGGAGGAAGAAGGGGGTACCTCCTCCCAGCGCTCCCTCCCAGGCACAGGAACCAGGGGCTAAGAGAGGGCCAAGCACAAACTGATGGTTTGTACCGACCAGCAGGTCAGGAGATTGGGTGCATGGAGCCTTCACCCGGGTGGGTGGCAAGTGGGAGGAATGGGCAGCCATACCTTCCTGCTGAGTTGGTTATAGGTGAACTTGTCCACACTGACCCCGTTCACTTCTAGCAGCCGAGCTCCTGTGGGTACTCCTGCCCGCTCGGCTGCTCCTCCGGCACTTAGCGCCAGCCAGAATGAACCTTGAGCTCCTGAAAAAGAAGAAGAAAGAAAAATCACAAAAATAAGTTCCAACTGGCTGCCTGCCTAGAACAGGGGCCACGACCCCCTGGGCCGCATCCCGCCTCACCTTGGATGACACTAAGGCCAAAGCCGCCCTCATCCCTCACTATGTGGCACAGCCGGGGCCGGACCCCCAGGCCTAGCAGAGGACAGAGGCAGGCATCGCTCTCTTGCTGAGCTTGGACCACCTCATACACGTGCTGCGCCAAGACCGTGAGCAGCACCCGGGGACCGCTGGCCCGGATGTGGCGTACTACCTGAAAAGAGGGCACGTGGGAATGGAGAAGGCTGGTCGCCGACTCCCCGGACCCACCTGGAGCTGTGTGTGACACCCCAGGAACTAGTTCTCCAGATGCCTTCACCCACCTTTCCTACGGACACGCCTCACCCTCAAATCCTAGAGGGTGGGCAAGTGACTCTTGGGCCCTGAACTACAGTACCCAATGGGGTGAGGTCCAGCCTCGTTGTGTGTATATGTCTCTGTGTGTGTATGTGCATGCATGTGCATATGTGTGTGTGCATGTGTGCCTGTGTGCGTGTGCATGTGTGTGCGTGTGTGCATGTGTGTGCGTGCGTGTATGCATGTGTGTGCGTGTGTATGCGTGCGTGTGTGCATGTGTGTGCGCGTGCATGTGTGCATGTGTGTGTGCATGTGTGTGTGCGTGTGTGTGCATGTGTGCATGCGTGCATGTGTGTGTGTGTGCGTGTGCGTGTGCATGTGTGTGTGTGTGTGTGCGCGTGTGCTGGTACTTGGGCTTGACTCAGGGCCTTGTACTTTCACTTGTCTTTTTCTGCTCAAGGCTGTCACTCTGATATTTGAGCCACACCTCTATTTTCAGCTTTTTTTTTTTTTTTGTCGGTCGTGGGGCCTAAACTCTGGTCCTGGGCGCTGTCCCTCAGCTCTTCAGCTCAAGGCTAGCGCTCTACCACTTGAGCCACAGCACCACTTGCGGCTTTTTTCTTTTTGCTTATGTGGTGCTGAGGAATCGAACCCAGGGCCTCATGCATGCAAGGCAAGCTCTCTACCATTGAGCCACCTTCCCAGCTCCACTTTCAGCTAGTTAATTGGATATAAAAGTCTTACAGACTTTCCTGCCTGGGCTGGCTTCTGACCCACGATCTTCAGATCCCAGGCTCCTGAGTGGATAGGATCACAGCCCCAGTGTCCAGCTTCCCTTCTACAGTGCTCCGACCACTCCCCACTCTAAGCAGCTGCGCTTGGCCTTACCACTATGTGGTCCTCACGGTCCACAACGTTGCTGTTCACTGCCAGGATCCGGTCTCCTACTCGGAGACCCTGTTTCTGGGCAGAGGAGCCAGGCTCTACCCTGCATACCACATCTCCAGCTCTGCCCAGCTGATGCTGCAGGTGGAAACCAAAACTCTTGCCGTCCTCCTTGCTCAGCAGACAGAAGCGAGGCTGCTTCAGGTTCCAGGGATCTGAAAGAGAGAGGAGACACAACCCCAGTACAAGGAAGGCCCTGGGCTTCTACCCAGCCAGATATTGCGCATTGTGGCTACACACTTCAAGGGCAGAATGACAGTGACAGAGTGAGTGCCCCCCCCCACCCCTGCGGGGGGGCCCCCCCTCCCCCTGCATCTCCATACAGTAACTGCGATCCGAGGGAGGCAGTGAGTGGTTACCAAGGAAACGGGAGGCTGTGTGGACCTGTGGTGTCTCCAGGGAAAAGCAATGGTTGCCAGGGGGGCGAGGAGGTTACCAGAGCTGTCCTGGTGGTCTTCGGCCAGGGAGAGGACAGGATTATCAATGCCCAGCTTGGGATTAAACTTAAACTTCCTGCAGGGGAGCAGGGGAAGCTGGAGGGAGAAGCTAGCAGCTGGACTTGGGCCCCAGGCTCTATCTTAGGGAATTACAGCTGAAAAGCTTCCCCACCTTCCAGATTCTTCTCCTCCTCTTGCCCCCCCACCCTCACGCCACTTACTGAGTGAATGAAGCCATGTCCCGAAGACCTACTGGATAAAGAAGTGGGTGAGAAGAGAGGCACCTTCTTCCCTGGGACAAGCTTCCATGATCATAAACTGGACGGACTTAGGGAAAGCCCCCATCCAGCCCTCTGCACTCTGTTCTAAAAGGGCTTTCCCCTCTCTCTACCATCTCACACACAAGGATTTTGTGTGTGCTCTTCTCCCCTGCCTTTCCTCCCCACTCCTCCAGGTCTGTGGCCCATAAATCTATCAACAGGGTGTGGACCAGGAAGGCAGACAGATCAGTTCACTTCATTCCTCTGAACTTCTATTTGTCTCAGGACGCCAAGACCCAACTTCAACTGTGCCTCAAGTCTCAAAGCCTCCAAAACACCCCCCACCTCCACCCCAACTGCCCCCAAGGTCCCCTCTAAAGAAGTTATCTCCCAGCTTCCTACCTGTAGCTGCCTCCATACTTGGATCTGTGATCGAGTGTTCAGAGTAGGGCCAAGGTCCATTTCAACCAGTTGACCCTCCCACCTACCCTCTCCCAAGTCCCACCTCCTTGAAGACCTTCAAGGAAGCGATCGGGTAATGGTTAACATCAGTAAATCTTATCCTCTGGGAAGTGAATTCCTTCAGTCCTCATTCCTATGCTAACTTTCTCCTGAGATCCTGGAGCAGGCCCAGGTGCTCCTCTGCACAGGCAAGGCAGATTGTGAACTCAGTACCCAGCTGTCACTTTCTTTTCTTTTCTTTCTTTCTTTCTTTTTTGCCGGTTGTGGGGCCTGAATCTGGGCCTGGGCGCTGTCCCTCAGCAATTCAGCTCAAGGCTAGCACTCTACCACTCGAGCCACAGCACCACTTGTGGCTTTTTCTGCTTATGTGGTGCTGAGGAATGGAACCCAGGGCCTCATGCATGCAAGGCAGGCACTCTACCACTGAGCCACCTTCCCAGCCCCCGCCCCTTTTTTGCATGTGTGTGGCAGTACTGGGACCAAGGTGCTGTCCCTTAGCATTTCTGCTCAAGGCTAGTGCTCTACCACTTGAGCCACACACCCACACCTTCAGTATTTTGCTGGTTAATTGGAGAGTCTCATGAACTTTTCTGCCCCAGCTGGCTTCAAACTATGATCCTCAGATCTCAGCCTCCTTAGTAACTAGGATTAGAGGCGTGAGCCACAAGCACCCAGCTCAACAGTCACTTTCAAAATTCTAACCAAAGTGATCCTTTCTTGGAAGCACCAGGCAAGAAACAGTAGGTAGAGCACACACAGCTTTTTAATAGCAGCAGGTCAGGTGCTAGCAGCCCTTGGGGCATTGTACCAGTGCAATACAGGAGCATGGGGGTGAGGGAAAGCACCAAGTGAGGGTATGCTCAGAGTGCACAGGTGAGCATCAGGCAGGACAAGGAAGCCCTTCTACACATCTCTGGCTTGTCAGACAGGAGAGGTGAGCCCTGAGTGGCACTACCAGAGGCACCGAGCTAGGCAGAGTCAAGTTCTTGGTGGGTGTTAGACACACTCGGGTCACTTGAGTGCCTTCTGACCAAAGGGAGAAGAGGCCTGATCCATTTCCACAACCACGAAACCCATTCTCTGTATTTGTTTTGGTTTGATTTTGGCAGATTGGTTGTTGGCTTGGTTTGCTTTTGTTTTTGTCTTTGGTTTTTGAGATAGAGTCTCATAATGTAGCCCAAATGACCCTGAACCTGCTATTCTCCTGCCTCAGACTTCCAAGTACTAGATTATAGGCATGAGCCACCTCCTCTGGCAATCCACTCACTATATTTGACCCTGGAAATTCCAAGCTTAGGGGTCCTTGTTGGACTTGCCCCAGGGTGGGGGTAGGGGGGTAGCTGGTACAGCTGTGCTCCACTGCCTTGCTTCCAGCCCTAAAGGGATCTTTCTGGAAAGAGTACCACAAGGGGGGGTGGGCTCAGAGGGAAGGGGTTTGAGGGCCGGTGGTCCCATAACTAGGTCTCAACTTCCAGACTCTCCCAGCTGCTCCAGGAGGGCCTTGACCTCGCCTTCCACTCGCAGCAGCTGGGCTTTGCGCCAAGGATTAAGGGTGGCACCGCGGCTGTCTTCCAGATCCCGTAACAGCAGCTCGAGGTGGCGCCGGACCCGGGCCCAGTCCCAGCTGTTGAGGTTCCGCTGGACCTCGCTGAGGATCACAGACCAGTACTCGGACACTGCCGTCCCTTCTGTCAGCGATGCCACAACCCGGGCACCCCCCTCCGCAGCACCTGCCAAATCTCGCAGGACCTGGCGGCCCTCTGAGCTCAGTTCGTTGAAGTAGAGGCTAGGAGGAAAGACAAGGGAGGACATTATCCATTGGGGCCCTGAGAAGGAGGACCTGAGGGTGGATGGGTACATCAGGGGCAGGGGTGAAACTCACAACTCATCTCCTGGCTGCCAAGGACAATGGGTCAGAGTGGGCAATAAGCCAGGGATGGAAGGGAAGAGGCCCATGTTCAGGAAGGAAGGGGGCTAGGAAGACAGGGAGGGACACAAGCATTGAATGAGACTGGAGACAGTAGGCTCCTAGAAGAGATGGAGGAAAACAATCAGGGCAGGGTAAGGTCTGGTCACAGAAAAAAAAAACAAAACAGCTCAGCACTCTGTTGACAGGGATCAGTTAGAGTTGAGCCACCAGGCCCAGGCCCAGATCACTCCAGGGTAAGAAGAGCAAGGGGATGGGGACATGAGGCATGGGACCAAGGGCAGGCAGACTTACTGCAGCAGCTCGAGGGACGGATGCTTCCGGGCTGCCTTGGCCAAAGCCAGGGCTGCCATATCGCCTGCACCGTTGTAGGCCACATTCAGCTCCTGCAGCTGCTGGTTTCGGTCCAGCTGGGCAGCCAGCAGCTCCAGCCCCTCATCTCCAAGGCCCGTGTGCAGCAGGGACAGGTGTGTCAGTGAGGTATTTCCTGCCAGGCCCTCCATCAGCAGGGCGACCCCCGCCTCTGTCAGCCGGTTGTTGGACAGCCTAGAGCCACGAGCAACGGAAGGCTGTGAGGGCCATTACAGATGCTCTGGGCAGGGAATTAGGTCTTAGGCCAAAGAGGGGACATAGGCTGGGTTGAGGAGACACAGGACAGAAACGCAGATTCAGCAGGGCACCCCGTGGCTCACAACTGTTATCCTAGCTACTCAGGAGAGTGAGATCTGAGGATCAAGGTTCAAAGCCAGCCCAGTCAGAAACATCTGTGAGACCTTAATCTCTAATTAATCACCAAAAAAGGTGGAAGTGGAGCTGTGGCTCAAATGGTAAAGCAATAGCCTTGAACAAAAAAGCTGAGGGACTGCCCAGGCCCTGAGTTCAAGCCCTAGGAACAGCATACACATGCACACACACACACACACACACACACACACACACACACACACACACAGAAACTACAGGCCCAGAAAGGAACAGGAAAGTGGGTGCTGCCCCTGCCGAGGAAAGTAGGGAAAGCTGACTTCTTTTCTTTTCTCTCTCCTTTCCCTTCCTTGCCTTTGTTTCCTTGCTTCTTCTTCTCCTATCCCTGTCTTTCTTCCTGCCCTTCCAACCTCTTCTTCCTCCTCCCCTCTCCTTCTGCCATCTTTCTTCCTCATCCACCTCCAGGCAACTGGAATCTTGGTGAACCATCCAACACCACACCTTGTGAGGCTGTAGTGGGAGACAGCTTAGGTCATCCAGCTGAGGCTGCTGGGGAAAAGCTGGCTGTTTCCAAGCCTCCAGCCCAGATATTACAGCAACCTCTCCACCTACCACCCGCTTCTCCAAGGCTGATATTCACCACGAGAGCTTTTCTTCTTTTTCTTCTTTTGTGTTTGTCAGTTGTGGGGTTTCAATTCAGGGCCCTGGTGCTTTCCCTGAGCTCTTTTGCCAGTTGTTAGGTTTGAATTCAGGGTCTGGGTGCTGTGCCTGAGCGTGTTTGCTCAAGGCTAGTGCTCAGCCACTTTGAACCACAGCTCTACTTCCGGTTATCTGGTGGATTATTAGAGATAAGTCTTATGGACTCTTGGGCTGACCCTCTTGCCTGGGCTGACTTCAAACCTCAATCCTCAGATCTCAGTCTCCTGAGTAGCTAGGATTACAAGCATGAGCCACCAGTGCCCAGCTACTAAGCCTTTCTTAACATCTTTTTTGTTAATATCTTTACCCCATCCTTCTGCTTCCAATGGACCTGGGCATACCTGGGGAAGGTTAGAACCTTGACTCCCACCATCTTTACTGTGGCCTAGGTGGGCCTGTGTCAGGCACACTGTGAGGCATGGAGTTTGCCCTGACCTGAGCAGACCCTTAGGCCAGAGCCTCTCCAGCCACTGTCCAGCACTCACCGCAGCGTGTTGATTTGGCACTGGTCATGCAGCAGCAGGTCTCGGAGGTCCCTGCAGGCTTCGGGGCCCAAGTTGTTGAGTTGTAAGCTAGAGCAGAAAGAAGATAGAAGGGAAGAACGGGACAAAGAAAGCAGCTTGGTCTCCCCATCCACCAGGCCCGGATCTCACCAGCCTGCCTCCCAGAGCCACATGCCCTCTGTTGCTTCTGTCACCTTCACCCAAACCAATTTCTCCATCCCATCCTGCTATGGTCTGGAGGTGGCTTGTCCCCCAAGGGACATGAGTTTGGAGACATGGCCCCCAGTTGGTGATAACTGAGATAGTCTAGAATCTTGAGAGATGGGACCTGGTGCAAAGGCAAGGAGATCATTGGCGAGGGGATTCATGGTGGACACACAGAGCGAGTTAGGTCTCATGAGAAGGGGTTGTTTTAAAGCAATCCCACTCCATGTGCTCAGCCTCTTCTGAATGGAGCTGTTTCCTTTTCTGCCCTTTTAACCACATTACAACACAGCATAAGAAGCACCAATAGAGGCTCCTGTCTAGTCTGAGCCTTCAGCCTCCAAAGCCCTGAGCTAGGTAGACCTGTTTTCTTTATAAACTACCCAGCCTCAGGTCTTTTGCTATAATAAAAGAAAATAAACTAAGAAGCAGCCGCTGGTCCTTCCTCTCCCTCTGGTTTCCCTTGCATGTTCTCTTCCCTGCTTCGCCTCCAACCCTCTCCTCTCATCATTATCTATGCACCAGGACAGGTGCTCACCCCAGCTTCCGGGCACGCAGCAAGACCGGCATGAGCGTGCGCAGCCCAGCAGGGTCGAGCTGGCAGGAGGCCAAGTTCACCTCATCCAGGGCATGCTTCCCGCTGCCCAGCACAGCTGCCACCACCGTGCACTTGAGGGGTGTCATGCGCACGCCCGCCAAGTTCAGCTGGCGCAGGGAGCTGAGCACCTCGGCAGAGAAGCGCTGGTTCTGGAACTCGTAGTGGAAGAAGAGGTGGTCCAGGAGCTCTGAGGGGGGCAGCACCTGCCGGCCCAGCTTGCCCAGCTTCTTCTTAATGGCCTGGGCATTCTCCAGGGCATCCAGGTTCTTGATGGGGCAGCCAAGCTGAGCCAGCACGGCTCGATTGTGGGCAGACAGGAGGCCCCCCATGAACATGGGGAAGAGCTCAAAAACCTCGTCCTCGGGGGGCTCATCTGGGTGACGCCGGGGGCCCTCCACCCCCAGGATACTGGCACCCATCTGATCCAGAACATCATCATTATAGTAGTCTTCCTCTCGGAACATCTCCAGCACCATGGCCTGGGCCACGGCCTCACGGTTCTTCCCCACCATGCGCCCAAACACTTGAGGAACAACCTAGAAAAGAAGCAGGGGAAGGTCACGGTGGCCCTCCATGGAACTCGCAGCCTTCGGGGCTCCAGCCTCGTGATCGCCCCTTGCACCCACAGCACCATTTGTCAGCCCACACTCATCCCCCTCACTGCCACACCTCCCATGGCTCCCCACCACCTGGGGGTCACACTTCAGACCTGGAGCCGGGAACCTGAGATGTCATCATCTAGCGGCCAGTTGACCTTTCCAGACTCAGTTCTTAAACTCTTGTCTCATTCGAAATTTCTCAGTCTCTGTCTCTCGCTTTTTGCCATTCCTGGGGCTTGAACTCTGGGCCTGGACACGGTCCCTAAGCTTTTGTGCTCAAGGCTAGCACTCTACCACTTTGAGCCACAGCTCCGCTGCTAGCTTTCTGTGGTTAGATAAGAGTCTTACGGACATTCTGTCTGGGCTGACTTTGAGCCTCCATCCACAGATCTCAGCCTCCTATGTAGCTAGGATTATAGGCCTAAGCTACTGACACCTGACTTCTCTCTCTTTCTTTCTTTCTTTCTCTCTTTATTTTTCCCCAAAATACCCATACATTTCCAAGCACGGCAGGGAGTGGGAGGAAAGGAGCTACACAGTTGTCCCCAGAGAATCCAGAGGGGATTGGACTGGGTGGGGTCAGTGCCTCGCCTTCCACATCCTCGAAGCATCTACGAACACTGTGGCTCCTACTACTTGAAACAACCATGGCATCCCCACCAACCCAAACCTCCCTCCACACTCACTCTATTCCCGCCTTCAAGCTTTTCTCATCTTCTTGACAATGTCAAGGTTTCCCTTCCCTCGGAGCCTCCATGATGCTGCTCTTTCCTGGGGTGCTTCACCTCAATTCTCCCCTGGACTAATCCTATAAGAACCAGTTCTCCTGCCCTCCACAGCGAGACTTCCCTGACCCCCTTCTCCAGCCCGGCTCCCCCATTCCACCTCCAGAACACCTGGAACTTTGCCTTATAGGCATTTAGCATCATTTTTCACTATCGGGTTCTGTTCATTTGTGTTCAGGCTGTGAGATCAGAAAGGACAGGAACCTGCAGTTTGGTTAATTGATTGTTTTTTCCTTCAGGATCTGGCATGTTACCTGGCACACAGCAGGCACTCAAATATTTAACAAGGAAATGAATGTCTTGGGGGCTGGCGATGTCACCTCACACCCTTGCAATGAATTATTGGATTAGCTTGCGGTGCCTCTTTGAATGTCTGGGGTGTTTTTGTCTTTTTATTCCCCCCCCCAGTTAAATGAGGTTTGAACTCTGGGCCTGAGTGCCGTCCCTCAGCTCTTCAGCTCAAGGCGAGCACTCTACCACTTGAACCACAGCACCACTTCCAGTTTTCTGGTGTTTAACTGGAAATAAGAGTCTCATGGACTTTCCTGCCCAGGCTGGCTTTGAACCGTGGTCCTCAGATCTCAGCCTCCTGAGTAGCTAGGATTACAGGCATGAGCCACCAGCATCTATCACTTCGTCTTTTTTATGAGTACTAGGATTTGAATTCAGGGCTTTATGCTTGCTAGGCAAGTGTTCTAATTAAGCCACACCTCCAGCCCTTTGTGCTGAGTGTGTGTGTGTGTGTGTGTGTGTGTGTGTGTGTGTGTGTGTGTTGATACTGGAGTCTGAACTCAGAGCCTGGGCACTGACACAGCTTTTCATTCAAGGCTGGTGCTCTAACACTTAAGCCATACCTCTACTTCCAGCTTTTTGGTGGTTAACTGGAGATACGAATGTTACAGGGAGCCAGGTGCCAGTGGCTCACATCTGTAATCCCAGCTACTCAGGAGGCTGAGATCTGAGGATCACAGTTTAAAGCCAGCCTGGGCAGGAAAGTCCATGAGACTCTTATCTTCAGTTAACCACTAGAAAACCGGAAGTGGTGATGTGGCTCAAGCAGTAGAGTACTCACCTTGAGCTGAAGAATGCAGGGACAGTGCCCAAGCCCAGAGTTCAAGCCCCACAACCAAAAAAAAAAAAAGAATGTTAAAGGGCTGGGAAGGTGGCTCAGTGGTACAAACATGAGGCCCTGGATACTAATCCTCAATACCACATAAGCAGAAAAAGCCAGAAGTGGCACTGTGGCTCAAGTGGTAGAGTGTTAGCCTTGAGCTGAAGAGCTGAGGGACAGCACCTAGGCCCAGAGTTCAGGCCCCACGACCGGGGGAAAAAAAAAAAGGATCTTACAGACTTTCCTGCCCGGACTGGCTTCAAACCAGGATCCTCAGATCTTAGCTTCCTAAGTAGCTAGGATTACAGGCACAAGCCACTGGGGAACCCCAATTCTTTATGTCTCGTGGCCTATGAAAAGTGAACATGTTTTAATTCTGCGAGCACTAACTGTGGTTCTGCTTTCACAGAGAAGCTGCTGATTCATTCCTAGAGGAAACCATAGTTTCCTAGCAAGGCACCACCGCTTGACAGATATCCTAAAACAGCAGAAGAGTTCTGACAGAAAGAGCACAGGCCTCAAAAATCACAAAACCTGGGGTTCACATCCCGGCTATTCTACTTGCGCTAGGAGCCCCTTGGACAAGTTCCTTTGCTCCACTTCTTCCCTGATCAAAGGGATGGGAACAGTATTTCATCTCTGGATCTCCAGGGTTGGTGTGAAAGACAAAAGAAATGGCAGTCTGCAGCAGACAGGCCGCCCTGCATCTCTCAAGCAATCACACATCCGCCCTGCTCACAGCAGGGTCCTTGGCCCTCTTGTTCGGATTCTGGAGCAGACCTGCTTCCAGGGTGAACCATCCTAAGCCAATTACTGATACCATTCATCCTCTCAGTATAAATGAATAAAGGGCATCTGCTTTTTAAACCTGTCTCTGGTGATTGAGTTAGGATGACTCATCACTCCCAGAGCCTGATCACCTCTGGGAGAACAGATACAGTCATGTTTCTGAGGCTACAAAGCACAGGACAGACAATGCTGCACTGCAGTGACCCTCACCTCCAAGTAACAAAAACTAGAAAGAGATCACTAGGTGCAGTAGCCCACACCTATAATCCCAGCCACTCAGGAAGCCGAGATCAAGAGGATCATGTTTAGATTATCCCAGCTTGCACCAACAAACAAACAATGAATGAGCTGGACCCCAATTCCTACTTCTGCAGTAGTCTGTTAATTTAGGAGGACTGAAGTCAAGGCCAGCGATGAAAATCCATGAGATCAGGGCTGGGAAGGTGGCTCAGTGGTAGAGCGCTTGCCTTGCATGCCTGAGTCCCTGGGTTCGATTCCTCAGCACCACATAAGCAAAAAGAAAAAAGCCGGAAGTAGCGCTGTGGCTCAAGTGGTAGAGTGCTAGCCTTGAGCTGAGGGACAGCGCCCAGGCCCAGAGTTCAGGCCCCACAATGGACAAAAAAGAAAGAAAAAGAAAATCCATGAGATCCCATCCACAAAAGTAACTAAAGCAAAAAAGTCATGAGGCTTTGAGTTCAAATCTCAGCAGACAAAAAGACAGGGAGATACAAAATGTTAGATATCCATGTAGGATCAATATTAAAGGTCCTGGCCTCAAATTTCACTCCAGCCCCCAAGCCTTCCTGCAGCTTCTCTCCCCCTTTCTTAGGCTCCAATCCTACTAAAAGCTAAACTGCCACGAGGGAAAGCCTGTTAACCCTGGGAGAAGGCCCCTGCTGTAGAAGAGACAGAGCTTTCTTTCTTTTTTTTTTTTGTCGGGTGTGGGGCTTGAACTCTGGGCTTGGGCGCTGTCCCTGCGCTCTTCAGCTGAAGGCGAGTGTTCTACCGCTTGAGCCACAGCGCCACTTCCAGTTTTCTGGTGGTTAATTGGAGATAAGAGTCTCACGGACTATTCTGCTGGGCTGGCTTTGAACCGTGATCCTCAGATCTCAGCCTCCTGAGTAGCTAGGATTACAGGCGTGAGCCACCGGCACCTGGCTAAGACAGAGCTTTCTACTAGGAGAGGAACAAGGGAGGCGGAGGGATCTGAGAGAGGAAGGGGAAGGGGAGGAGTCCTGGCACTGTTACCTTGAGCAAGTTGAAGAGCAAAGGAAGAATCCGCAGAGGCAACAGTTTGGCCACAATCCCTAGCACCAGGCTGACATCCTCCCCGACGCGGCCCACCAGCTCAGCCACTTCCTTGCCCACCCGCTGCAGGGTGGTCTTGCGCAAACCCAGCACAATGTAGAGGGCTGCCAGGTATTCCTGCATGGCCGGCACGGTGAACACGAAGGTGCCTAGGTGCCCTGGCTCCACACATGGTGCCAGGAAGAACCTCAGGGCATCTCGGCGAAAGATGTGCAGAAGCTGAAACTCCTCTTCTGTCCTGATGCCAGCCTCCAGGCAGCCTCGGACATCCTCTTCAGAGAAATAAGTCTTGCGGGAAGACACTCCCTCGTAGGCTAACTTGCCCATGGTTCGGGCTGCATAGGCCATCAGGGACAAATTGGAAGAGTCCGTGCTATCCAGCGTTTCCCCACTGAAGTTGAGGCGCAGGAAGCTGGTGTAGATGCTTGTGAGGGTTTGGCCAGCCGGCGTGGGGGCATGTAGGAAGTGCAGGGTAGCACAGACCAGCCAGCAATAGGAGGGCAGAAAGCAGGCGGCAGCGATCTGGTGGTGCCCCTCCAGATTTCGGGAGAGCATCTGCACCAGGTTGTCTCGCTGAGCTGGGGTGGCAGAGATACTTGCACCGCCGGCGCCATACCCACAGTCCGGCTGGTTGAGACGGAGCTGGAAGTAGAGCTTCTGCAGGTTGGTATCTGAAAAGCCGCAGATCTCACCGTAGCGGCCCACATACTTGCTGGGGATGCGGCCTATGGCGGAGGGACGGGTGGTCACCAGAATGCTGGCCTGGAAAGGGCATGGTTGATGGTTAAGAAAGATATTAAGCTAGGCAATGGTGGCTCTGGGGATAACATCTGTTATTCCCACTACTCAGGAGGCTGAGATCAGGGAATCATAATTCAAAGCCAGCCCCAGCAGGAAAGTCTGTGAGACTCTTATCTCTAATTAACCACCAGAAAGCCAGAAGTGGCTGTATGGCTCAAGTGGTAGAGTGTCATATTTGAGTGAAAAAGCTCAGGGACAGAGACTAGGCCCTGAGTTAAAGCCCTAATAGAAAGGGAACAAAAAGAAAAAGAAGGGGATGGGAGGGGAAAGAAGAGGAGAGAAAAGGAAAAAAGATCTTAGGTCTGGGTATTGATGGCTCAAACCTATAATCCTAGCTGCTCAGGAGGCTGAGATCTGATCATCTCAATTTGACACTGGCTGGAGTAGACAAATCCAAGAGACTTATTTCTAATTAACCAGCAGAAAGCTAGAACTGGAAGTGTGACTCAAGTGGTAGAGCACCAGTCATAATAGAAAAAGCTGAGAGAGACAATGAGGTCCTGAGTTCAAGCCCCAGCACTAGCAAGTATGTGTGTGTGTGTATATGTGTGTGTGTGTGTGTATGTATATGTGTGTATGTGTGTGTGAGAGAGTGCATGCACACACGCATGCGCACTCACACATTTTAGACTCCTGTCTCCTCTAGTTCCTGAAGTGGGAGTATCCAGGGATGAAGAGGACAATGACTACAACAATTATAAGTAACAATTAATGAGCACCTGCAATAGTCCAGGGCATGATCTAAGTATTTTATATGGGGGGGAGGGTCTTTCATTTAATTGGTGCAACACAAAGGATAGAAGAACACAGTTTACTGACTTGCTCAGAGTCACTCAACTGGAAAGTAACTAGGCCAGGATTTGAACTAACCCAGCAAGCCGGGGACACAAAACTCCTTACAGGGCAGGGCAGGGCAGGGGGTAACAACAGCAGGGTATGGCAAAGGACGCCCACCTCAGGCAGCATGTACTTGCGCAGTAGGTTGACGATGATGGCAGCTGGGGCCCCAGGCTCCTCAGGGTCACTACAAAGTCCTGTGCCTGCCAGCCGGAAGTCAAGGTTGAGCCGCTCTAAGCCATGGAGCACAAAGAGCAATCGGGACCCGGTGGCAGCCATCAGGGGCAGAACTTCCTTCAGCGGTGTGTATCGCTGAGCCACAAGCTGGGACAAGGAGGTGGGAGTGGGGCCCAGGGATGACAGATCCTCGCAGGAGAAAGGGATGAGCAGCTCGAAGGCAGGCAGTCGCCCGTAACACCAGTCCAGGACCATCTTGCGCACCAGCGTGCTCTTGCCTGTGCCCACTGTCCCATACAGCACCACCGTCTGCACCCGGCGCCCACAGGCATCCGGGTCAAAGAGCTGAGCCAGAGCCAGAGGGGGAAGCCTAGCCGGGGGCCGCTGGTGCTCTAGGACCAGCTCCGCAGATGGACGCAGCAGCTCATCGGGGGTGCTCTCTTGGATCACAGGGTCAACGTGCACCGTGTCAAGAGCAAAGGTTGGGCCAAACTGGCGCTCCTCCCTGGGAAGCCGCGTGAACCACTCAGCCAGATTCCGGCGATGCCGCTGAATAGCTTCTACACAAAAAGGCAAGGGACGTGAGTCAGGGAAAGGACTGGAGATGTTGAAGCTCAGGCCTAACCAGGGTGGTGGTAGATCAGGCTGGAGAGTCAGAACACAACCTGCCAGGCACTAATGGCTCACACCTGTAATCCTAGCTATTCAGGAGGATCTGGTTTGAAGTCAGCCCAGGCAGAAAAGTTCTTGAGACTGATCTCACCTTAACCAGAGAAAAATCAAAAGTGAAATTGTGATTCAAGTGGTAGAGCCCTAGCCTTGAGTGAAAAAGTTAAAAGACAGTGTTCAGGCCCTAAGTTCAAGCCCCAGTACTGGCATCAAAACCAAACCAAACCACAGTACCCAAAGATACAGAATGATACAGGGCCCACGATCCCCTCAGAAAATACAAATTGCCCACTGAGTTTGGAAGCTCTGTGACAGAAAGGAGGAGACTCGAGGCAAGTAATACTGAACCTGGACAATTGTAACTTGACTGTTAGACCCAATGTTAGTTAAAGGTAGAAAGAGCACGTCTCTCCAAGTGTTTTGTTTATAATAAGTGTGTTCTGAATGAGCGCGGCAGGAAGGGATACACACACATATAGGAAGGCGGGAGAGAGCGGGAAGCAGAGAAAGAGAGCCAGGGACCACTGATGGGTGACGGCAGTGGATCCTCCTCCAGGCCCCCCTCCAGAATCCAGGCACCCCACCCAGAATCCCATCCAGTCCTTTACCAGCTGCAGAGACACTCCGGAACAGCTGTCCATGCCTCCCTAGTGGGGGAGGACTGTCCGCTGAGCTCTCTTGGTGACTTGAAAATGCCCTGGGAGTGAGCACAAGAGGTAAGCTGAGGCCTGGCCACTGGGCTCAGCCTCCGTACAGTCTGAGTCCAGGCTGCTCTAGACTTCTGCTTCCTGAGATCCAGGCCTGATCCGGTTCAAGTTCTCATGTCCTTCCCAGCAACAGAAGCCTGGGCCCAGGGCCTTCAGCCCCTACTGCTGCCTGCCTGACTGCAAGTCAGCCTGGCCCCGGCTGGAGCCACGCACTTCCCACAGGCCCTCCCTTCCCCCACTGCTATGACTTCCACTAAGCTAATGTCCTCAGGCCGCAGCTAGCTGCCTCTGTACCCTCCCGCCTCCAGAAGCCCAATCCTCTCTCCCAAAGATCAGCCTGACGCCATCTCCTCACCACCACCACCCCTGCCCCGAGTCTGCTGAGCTGTCCCCGGGTATAATGTATGGCAAAATACCCAGGCTCACCTGAAGGGCCCCAAAGGGCGATGTCCTTTAAGGGACCATCTCCAGTGGGTCAGGAAGGGGATGCGCTTATCTACAGAGAGAAGAAAGAAACTACTGCAGGCCCCATGCATGTGTCTGCATTCATACCCACCTCGTTGGCTCTCCTGCCAACAGGGATGCCCCTCTGTAGCAGTTACTAGGCAGTCTTGTATTTCACGATATGATTACTTGATTAATATCCAATCCCCTCCTCCATGAGAGGAGGGAACCTCATCTGGTTTTGTTCACCACTCTGTGCCTAGAGCTTAAGGCAGGTAAATAGCAACTGGAGGAAAAAATGAAATCAAAGTTCCACAACTATAAGGGACCCCTAGAAGATTATCTAGTTCAGCCCTCTTATTTTAGGGTGGGATAAAGAAGGCGCACAGGGGTGAGGTGACCTGCCCAAGGTCAACAATTTGGAAACCCAAAGCGCTGGGACTAATGCACCTGGCATCTGAATTGCCGCTTTCTCAGAGGCACCATCTGGATCCCGAAGAATGAAGAGGCAGAAACAGAAACCTCAGCTTCCTGCTCACCTGGTGGCTGCAGTGTTCTTCCCAGACCAGAGGCTCTAGGCAAATGACGGCCCCACCTCATCTTGGGAGGGAAGGCCAGAGCCTTGGTGACTTAGGACCACTTCTGTCCTGTTTCCCTACAAGAAGAATGATGGGAATGGGAAGCCGCTGTCCTTCACCCCTCCCATGTGCCACTTGCTCCAAAGCAGCTAAGGAGGAGCCTTCTCCCAGGAGAGGCCCAGCCCTCCCTCAGGTGTCAGCATGGTTGAAGGCCTGGCCTGGCTTCCAGCTCTTCTCTAGCAAGGAAAATCCCAACCAGAGTGGTTGCATTTTATCTCCTGCCCCCTCTTGCCTTTCCCCAGAGGCTTCACAAATCCCTCTGTCTTCAGTTCCAGGCAAACGTTCTGTTTTTAGGCATCTTTTTCTCCCCTTTGGCTGCCAGCAAGCTCATTTCCAGGGGCTTTTTGGAGCCCAGATTTTCCAGGAATAATTACCCGCTCCCTTCTGCCTTTCTTCCCTCGCCACTGGGTTCCTTTAGCTGAGTTTTAATGGTTTTATCACTTTCTCTGCTGTGACTTTGATCTGGGCTGCCTCTGAGGCTGGCATAAATAATAAATGAAGGAGAAGCAGCCACTTTCAACTTGACATCTCCATAACGAAATGCTGCCACTGCTTCCAACCTCAGCCACGCAAACCTGCTCTCCACTTACTTTGTAACATTGTTTCAGGTCTTTTTCGGGAAAGCTGGCCTGTTATTCCAGACCTCCCTCCACCACTCCAAGCCAAGGACCAGTCTTATGCCTGCCAGTGCTCTCAGTGCTGCATTATCTGAGCTCACCCAGCAGCTCCCAGGGCTGACAGGGCCCCATCTCCCCTCGGGCATCTCTGCCTTTAGTCTCAGCCCATTTCTATCCCTCATTCCAGACAGGAACCACCCCTCTCCAAAGTTTCCTTACAGACATAGAACTCCTGGCCCAGACAAAGCTCCTCCTCCCCTCGCGTTTGCCTCCAGCCTGCACCTCACTCTGGCTCAGCTGGTTCTTGCTTTTGATTTCTAACCTACTTTAAGATCCTTGCTCTCAGGAAGTTGCTCCTGGGTCCCCCGAGTTCCCTTAAATCCTGGGCCTGGTCTTCACTGAGAACAGGAAACAAGTGTCTGCTCTGCCCACCCCCTCCCCTTCCTTAGCAGCCCCCAGCGACCCAGAGCCTGGGAAAGCGCAGCCCGAGTCACGGAGGGAGCCGGGGCGCTGTTACCGTCTGCACGGTCCCGGGCAGGAAGAAAAGTTAGGGGGCGGGCAGGGCAAGTCCGGGGTAGCTCCCCGAAACGCTCCGGGTCCCAGACGGCTCCCCTGCTTTCAGGTGACCCCCGGGGAGCCTGCCTGCCCCGCCGTTCAGGGACCCCGCGCGCGGTGCTCCCCGCTCGGGCCCCCCCCCGCGCCCCGCGCCCCGCCCGGCCCCCGCCCCGCGCCGCCGCCCAGCCCAGCCGAGGCCCGACGGGCGATCGGGCCGGCGAGGCCTTTACCCTGGCTGCCCAGGCCCGGGAGCGGGGCCGCGGCCCGGCGGGGCGGAGGAGCGCGGAGCGGAAGCCGGCGTCACCCGCGGGCTCGCGGCGTCCCGGCTGGCTCAGCGCGGCGCTTCCTGCCCGCCCGCGCCCGCGCCCGGGCGAGCGAGGCCGGGCTGGCACGCGCCACGGGCAGGGGCACCGGAGGGACGGACGGGCCGCGGGGTCCTGGCCCGCGAGCGAGCGGGGACCGGCGCGGATGGGGGGGGGATTCCCGCTGCGCCCCGTCTTCCGGCCCGTCCCCGCTGGCACTGCCCCCCCGCGCCCCCCCCCCCCCGGGCTGCCACCCGGTGACCTCATCTCACCGATGAGGACACCGACGCAAAGAAGAGCCAACCGACCAGGGCTGGTTGATCCGGCAGGGAGGCGGGCGGGCGGGAAGGCTGGGGCCTGGATCTTCCCCGACGCCCATCCCCGACAGTCTGCGGCTCGCCACCTCCTCGGCCGACTTCCTGGGGCCTCCCTTCTGAATCCGTCGGACCCCAGGCCTCTGCGTGCGGCCCAGGTCCCTTTAGTCAGGAAGGAGGAAGAATGGGTCTGCTGGACAGTTCCCACCCCAACCTGCTCTTCCTGTTTGCCATCCAGTGGTGGGTCAGCAGTGGAACTTCCGCGTCCTCAAAGCCCTCGCCCTTATCCCTGAGCTTCTGGGCAAGGAACAGCGGCGTACACAGAGGCCATCACCCCCCCGCCCCGCAGGACACACCTCAACATGCAGACGGAGGTGTACAGTGTGCCAGAACCTTCTGCATACATGGGGAACTGAGACAGACTCGCCAGGGTGGGGTGGGAAGACGGCTTTGCGGGCCATCTTCCTTCCACACAGAAGACAATGTGTATGTTTTACTTCTAGACAATTGTCTATTCATTGAATATGTGGTGTTGGGCCATTACTGGGCACCCACCCCATTGCCAGGCCCAGTAATAGCCCTAGAGAGATCAAGCAGAATTCTGGGACACACCACCAGGTTCAAATGGATGGACTTGAGAGACCAAGGCAAAACAAGGCCTTGGACAAGTCTGGAAGAGGAAATTAAACTACCTGCTTCTGACTGAGAAAGGCAACATTTGAACTGGATTCTTAAAAATAAATAAATCAGGGGCTGGGAAGGTGGCTCAGTGGTAGAGCGCTTGCCTTGCATGACTGAGGCCCTGGGTTTGATTCCTCAGCACCACATAAGCAAAAAGAAAAAAGCTGGAAGTGGTGCTGTGGCTCAAGTGGTAGAGTGCTAGCCTTGAGCTGAAAAGCTGAGGGATAGCGCCCAGGCCCAGAGTTCAGGCCCCATGACTGGACCCAAAAATAAATAAATAAATAAATCAGCCCGGCGCTGGTGGCTCACGCCTGTAATCCCAGCAGGTGGGAGGCTGAGGCAGAAGGTTTGAAAGTCTGAGATCAGTGAAGGTTACATAGTGAGACCCTGTCTCAAAACACCAAGATTCATTCATCAAAATTTAAAAAAAAAAGCCAGAGAAGGAAAGAGAATTCAAGCAACAGGGAAAATGGCACATTTGCATTTTAAGAGACGTTCTCCCAGGGGAGCTGAATGAGAAGGGGAGAGGGGAATAGAACAATCCTCTGGCTGTAGTCTCAGAAGTGACATTTTGGGGTTGGAGTGGGGGGGGGTTACCATAAGAGGCAGATGTCACTTGATTGCAGGTACTGGCCATGGCTGGGAGCCTGCTGCTCCCCTCTCCTGTTGGTACAACACCCATGTAGATTTTATTAATAACATATAATTTGACTGGCCTTTTGCAGACAGAAGTAGAGCGAGTCATGCCGTGGGCATGTCTTCTGTTGTCTGACCGCGGGATGGAGTGCCAGGTGCTCTAAAAGCTGTAGCATGAACTGTCTTGGTCAACTGTCCTCTGGTACTTTGTGTAGTCCTAGCATACATTCAGAAATGGTCATATGAAAGAACCTGATCAGGTGAGCACTTAGGGAGAGAAGGCCCCATTTCCAAACATGTAGAGATGGGCAGAGTGCATTTATACAGGGTGTGTGTGTGTGTGTGTGTGTGTGTGTGTGTGTGTGTGTGTGTGTGTGTGTACTGGGGCTTGAATTTAGGGCCTTGTGTGCCTGCTTGGTTTTTTATTTTTATTTTTATTTGGTCTGAGACTGGGATTTGAACACAGTATCTGAGCTTTGCTTTCACTCATTGGCTGGCACTCTACAACTTGAACCATGATCTCCAACTCCTCCTGCTTGGCTTGTTTTCAAGGCTGGTATTCTACTGCTTGAGCCACATTTCCACTTCTGGCTTTTTGCTTGTTCATTAGTAATAAGAATCTCAAGGACTATTCTGCCCAAGATGGCTTTGAACATCAGTCCTCAGATCTCAGCCTCTTGAGTATCTAGGATTATAGATGTGAGCCACCAGGGCCTGGTTGAGCACTGTGTGTTGAGGGTTTGCTCATGTCTACTGGCTTCAGCTTCCTGTTCTGCAAACCCCTCATTGGGTGTCTGTGGGATGGAAAGAGCTCATTGCAACTTTGTGAACCACTCTACAAATGTTCTCAGTGTCTAAATGACTCGTGCTGGCTCCAGCGTGGCTGTTTGCTGCCTCCCCTCCCCATGGCGCTTGTGGATGTGTGCATTTTTAACTCCTTCAGACCTATTTGTAGTTTTTCTTACTAATACCAGGGTTATATCAGGGCCTCATGCTTCTTCTGCTTGCTAGCTCAGCTAGTGCTCTGCCGTTTGAACCATACCTCCAGCCTGATTTTTTGCTGATTATTTTGGAGATAGAGGCTCATGGAATATTCTGTCCCAGCTGACTTCCTGAAACCACAATTCTCTGGATCTCAGTCTCCTGAGTAGCGAGGATTACAGGTGTGAGCCGCCAATGCCAAGAAGTATTTGCATTTTGAAAGAAAAAAGGTAAAGATGAGGACCATAAGAAAGACAACTTGATGGTGAACCTCTGTGCCCTTTGACTCGTGAAGAGCCATAGATGGCTTGTGGAGCGGCATCACTTCATGGAGAAGGAGCTCCCAGGACACCCAAAGCAGCATAGGACCTTCTACCTCCCACTGCCAGTCAAATCCTCTGAGACATCTCCAGTCCAATTTCCAACTAGTCATAGACTGGACTCTGGTCCAGCCCAGGGCATTTAGTTTACATGTCACCCAAGTGGGGTCTTTCGGGCATCTGCCAGGGCTGCTGCCTGTCACTTCCTTCAGATCCCCAGCGTCAAGCCCAGGACAGAAGAGAGTGAGACAATTGCTACTTCTTGGGTCATCTAGCCACTAGCCCTCAAGACCTTCTGGACACTCACCTCTTCCAAATCTCTAGCATGCAGTCTTGGCGGCTGATGGCTCAGCCCTGGTAAATGTGGACCCACAGAAAAGAAAAGAAGGAACTGAGTGCCAATGGCTTATAATTCTAACTACTCAGGAGGCTGAGATCGGAGAATCTCAGTTCAGAACCAGCCCAGGAAGAAAACTATCTATAAGACTCTTACCTCCAATCAGCCAGCAAAAGGCTGGAAGTAGGGGTGTGGCTCAAATGGTAATGTGCCAGTCATGGGCAAAAATACTGAGTGAGAATGCAAGGCACTGAGTTCAAGCCCCAGTACCAGCATGCTTGTGCACGCACACACACGCACACACACAGAGAAGAGGGTAAGGAATGAAGTCTAGAGTAAGCTCAATGAGATCTCTGCCACTCCTACTATAGGAACAAGGTTCCAGATTCTGTCCTGCTTCCCATTCCATTCATGACCCCTGACATACTCCCCACCCAGCGCAACCAGGGTTCAGTGAGTCCTGACAGACCAGGAGGATACCAATCATTAGGGCAAAAATACAGTCATGCAACCTGCACAGGAACTCACACCATGTGCACACCATGAACAGGGACACTGACCAATGCCAAGAACAAGACATCTGGAAGCAAAAGACCTGGTCTCCAGGCCTGCATCCACCTCCCCCTCCTGAGAGCTGGTGGCATTTTACTGATCCAAGCATGAGTTCTCCAAGGCCTTACTTGAGATGCTGAACATGAAGCACCGGTAAGACGGAGTGCATGATTCAGATATTCCATAGGCTGCACTCACTGACTTGACGCATTTACCATCCCTGCCACAGGCCCCTGAAAGTTGGCAGACATCTTCACAAGTGCTTTAATGACTCCCTTATTAGCTCATCCGTACCAGGTGACAGAACCATACACATTCACATACTGTGTACTGTATAAATATAGGTTTTATTAATAATGGGTGAAATCCCACAAATACAACTGGCATCTCTGGGTCATGAGAACCTGTGGCAGAGTGAGGGAAGACGGAGAGGTGTGTGGACAGGAAGGGGAAGGGAAAGATTCTGGGGGAGAAGAAATGAGTAGAATGAGCCTGGACCCACTGGAAAAGCCAGACAAGCTTAATGTGTGGACGCCATCTTGGTGAACAGGGCAGGCTGTTCAGATGCCCAGGGGTCACCTGCTGATGGGTAGAGGGTGGACAGATGAGGACAGGAGTTTGAATGAGCAGCAAGTAGCAGGAGAGTGAGAATGTCAGCTTGGAGCACAAAAGGAGAGCCATGGGGTGGTGATGGCCAAGGCCAAGCTTCTGCTCCTGCTTGTGCTTGTTGGGTCCTGACCTCTAGTGCCACCCCTCGCTCAGGAGGGAGGGAAGACTGGGAGTAGACACCTGCAGGTCCTGGAGTCACTTGCGGCAGCACCAGCCTCTCCCTTAGAGTCTCAAAGTGGGATCCTATGAGGAGCCTGGCACTGCCCTCCCCAGGGCACCTGCCACCACCGCTCTTTGAGCTGGAGGGAACAGCGCAGGTGTGGGGCTGAGATTGCCCATTCGCATGGAAAGTGCCTGGGACCCTGGAAGGCGTCCGTGGACCATGTGACGGGAACAGCAAGAAAGGGGTGCCCCCCACTCTCCCCTTCTCCAGAACCAAGTGCATTCTGCATCCCAGTGGTGGGCGGGGGAGAAATGCAGGCGTTATTGCAGAGATACCGCCAGCTGGACCCTGACCAAATGTGTACCCGGAAGGGAGTTGGGATATCCCATGGCCTCCCCGATCCCCAGGATTCGAGAGGCGACCCAGACAGAAAACCCAGCTTCTGTCCCAGCAGATTGTCCAAACGAGCCAGCGTGGCGGAGAGGGGGAGTTAGAAGAGACTTCCAGAGTCCCTCCTGGGTTCATCCCAAAGTCAGTGATGGGACACTCTCCCCCGGCCCCTCCAGTGGACTCCACCAAGGCCCAGCCCTGGAACTCCAACCTTTCAGCAGCCTTCTTTACAAACACGGTTGTGGTGGAGACCCCAGTGGGGTCCACTTTGGTCAGTCGTAAGTGAGAGCCTCGAGAGTCTCCCAGGCAGACGACAAAGGAGGGTGCCGCAGGTGGGAAGAGGGTGGCTGCCTCCGGGCAGTCTTTGCATGCAGGTGTTGGAGAGAAAAGGGAGGAAGCTACAAACTGCATCAGTCTGGGAAGACTCCTGGCCGGAGCCCCACCCGCCCAGGGCCGAGGCCGGCAGCACAGTCCCACCGCCAGGCATCCGAGCAGCTGAGGGAGGGGAGGGCGGCTGCACCAGCAACCAATGCCCAAGTCTACAAGGTTAAAACCGTCCCCAGAAGGGCTGGAGCTGGGGGCTCCCTGCTGCAGGGGCTGCGCACAAGGCTTTATCTCTCCGACTTGACCCTGTACCGGAGCACAAGGTATGCCAGCAGCCGGAGGGCCAGGAAGAAGATGCCCAAGACCAGGAAGTCCAGGTACAGTTTGGCATCCTCCACATCCAGGGCTCGCAGGATGCTCTGTGGCTCCCGGAATGGGCAGCGCTCCTCTAAGCATGTCAGGTCTCCTCGCTCCATGCCATAGATGGTCAGGATCGCACCCTCAAAGCCATACCTAGGGGCATCAGAGGGCAGGGCACCCCGCTCCTTCAGCAAATCGCCAGAGCCCAGCCGCAATGCTGTCATTCCCAGGGACCAGCCAGGATGCCCCTGGTAGCTGCCAGAGTTGGCACAGCCAAGAGAGAGCTAGGCAGGGCTTCTTGTAAGGAAGGGCAGGGGCAGGCATGGAGGAAAGAGGCACCAACCTGACATAGGAGAGGTAGGAGCTCCATTGCAGGTAAGTGGGGATGGTCTTGAAGGTGACAAAGAAGCCAGAGAACAAAAGGACAGGGATGGCAGTAACTGGACCCACAAAAGTGGCCACCTGGAGAGGAGGGGGAGGGGGCCGGGCTGTCATGGGGGTGACTGGGATTAGGGTGGTCCCTGAGTTTCCCACAGGTTCATCCCAGCCCCTGATCCCTCCCCCAAGACCCCATCGTTGTTTGGGAAGTCCCATGTGCCAGCATTCCCACCTGTAGGGAGTTGGAAGCAGCTCCGATCAGCAGTCCCAAGGATTGAGCCACTAAGGCGGTGGCTGTGGCCAAGGCTGAGAAGAGCAGGAAGCGGCTGGTCTCAGCTGGTTGGCCGGTCATCCAGTACACTATGCTGCAGTATACCAACGGGCACATCACCTGAGGAGCAGGCACACAGCTGGGCAGGGGATTTTGAGCCAGGGACATGTGGCCTAGACTCTCCACTCTCCACAGGAATGAGGCCCAGAGCCTTTATTCCCAGAGCCCGCCATGCCTACCCTACCTCCACACTTGTTCACACTGCTCCCCAGATTGACATGGGTCCCCTTCCTCCCTGACCGAATGACTCTCACTCAGCTTCCTAAATCTCATCCATTAGGCCTCTCTCTCCCTCTCTCTCTCCATCTCTCTCTTTCTCTGTGTCTCTGTCTTGTGTGTGTGTGTGTGTGCGCGTGCACACACGCGCACGCGCACGCGCCAGTGCTAGGGTTTGAACTATCCCTGAGCTTTCCTCTTCCTTCCTCCCTCCTTCCTTCCTTTCTTCATCCTTCCTTCCATCTTTTTTTTTTTTTTTTGTGCTAGTCCTAGGGCTTGAACTCAGGCCTGGGTGCTGTCCCTGAGCTTTTTTACACAAGGCTAATTAATGCTCTACCACTTAAGCCACAGCTCCACTTCTGCCTTTTTTATGTGTGTGTGATTAACTGGAGATAAGAGTCTCACAGACTTCTCAGCCTGGCCTGGCTTTGAATCTCAATCCTCAAATCTCAGTCTCCTGAGTAGCTAGGATTACAGGCATGAGCTACTGGTGCCCAGCTTCCCTGAGCTTTTTTGCTCAAGGCTAGCACTCTACCACTTGAGCAGCAGATCACTTCTAGCTTTTTGGTGATTAATTGGAAATAAGAGTCTCAAAGACTTTCCTGCCCAAGCTGGCTATCCTCAGATCTCAGCTTCCAGAGTAGCTAGGAGTCAAAGGAACACAGCTTCATGAGGCCTATTCTGAAGTTACATGGTAACTTCTCCTTTTGAGGGCCAGAAGGCCTTCGTCTCTGGACCAGCTTTTTCTTACATTGTTAATTAATTGGCTTTCCACAGCAATGTTTTGTCCCTCCTTGAAACTATCATCTTTTTGGATACAAAGAAACAGATATGTAGAATCAGCAGGTCCAGCTATGTAATGTACAACATGGAGACTACAGAGAATAAAATTACTTTGTATCAGGAATGTTTGTTAAATAGATATATCTTAGCTTCTCTTTCACAGAAAAGTAACTGTATGAGATAACTGAGTGCTCTCATTTGTTTCACTTAATATGTATCCCATAGTGATTTTTTTTAAATCTTGACATACATTGCCTAAGTGGCTAAGCCTCTAATCCTAACTACACAGGAGGCTGAGATCTGAGGATCACAGTGCAAAGCCAGCCTAGGCAGGAAAGTCCCTAAGACTCTTATCGCCAATAAACTACCAAAAAGCTAGAAGTAGAACTGTGCTAGAGTTCAGGGGCAATGCCCAGACACTGAGTTCAAGACTCAGGATTGGCACACATGCACATATATACACACACACACAATTTACATGTATTTTTCAAACACCATCCTGAAGTCGTTACTGTCATTATTCACAGAAGTAAAAGCGCTAAGTTCTATCCCGAGTTCCACAGATTTTTGTTGTTGTTCATTTCCCACATGTGTGCCTGGTTAGCGCAGTGCACAGGAAGTACTCACCACCTCTTTGCGGGGGAGTAGAAGGAAAGGATGGGAGAACGCAGGTTAAGGGAGGCCAGCAAGCAAGGACGGAGGAGACAGTGGACAGCTGAGAGGAAGAGGCTCACCTGAAAGGGCACGTCAGCCATGGTCTTGGCCAGGTAATACGCTTTGAGGCTGTACCAGTAGTTGAGATGCTCCCTCATGAAGACTGCCATCTCTAAGGGGACTGAGGAGACAGGTGGATCAGGCTCCATGGTGAGCCCCTGGCCCTCGTGCCCCGCACCCAGGCCTCACCCCTCAGGCAGCGCAGCTTACAGGTAAGCACAGTTGGCATGAGGGCAGCAAACATGAGGAACAGCATGGAGAAGAAGAGGCAGCCGGTGTTGTTGAAGACCTTGCTGGCGTCATCACCGATGTGCAGGTAGAGGAGACCGATGAGCACGCCGATCACCACGTGGGACATGAACCGCAAGTGGGTCAGGACCTGTGGAAGGGGTCCTGATGAGGACAGGATGTGTCCCAAGGTGTTGGCCAGGCAGGACACAGCGCAGGACACTCTGGGGCAGGAACGCCAAACTGCACTTTCTTGCACATGGTCCCACAGAGGCACTGGAAGTTGTGGGATTGGGGGGGGGGGGGGGCGGGAGCGGGCGGGGGAGGGGGGAGCATTCCTATCCCAGCAGCTGCGATCCTACCACTCAAAAGGCCAGGCCTGGGCCTCCTCTCCTCCAACTCAATGCCTCACCGTGTCCCTGAGGATGGACAGGAAGGTCCTCCTGAAGAGGATGCAGAACTGGGTGAGGGTGCTGGTGGCAAAGGTGTGGCTCTCGATGGTATCCACGTCCTGGGGAGAAGAAATGAGACCAGGTGAGTCTGCTCCACTCGCTGCAGCCCACTCAGCCTTTCCCAGGGCAGGCTGAGGTCTACTGAAGAGAGGAGGCCTCCTCCACTGAGCTGTGTGCCTGGAAGCTAGATTTCGGGGTCTGAATCGGAGGGATACTGAGGAAGAGAGAGACACAGGAGTGGGTGAAGACTTGGGAGCTAGGAGATGGGAAGGCGTCAAGGACCTCGTGTTAGCTCAGAGTTCTTTTTCTTTTTCTTTTTTGCCAGGCCTTGAACTCAGGGCCTGTCCCCTATGCCTGAGCTGCTTTTGTTCAAGGCTAGTACTCTTCCACTTTGAGCCACAGTGCCATTTCCAGCTTTTTCTGTTAACGTGGTACTGGGGAATCAAACCCAGGCAGGGCTTCATGCATGTTAAGCAAGCACTCTACCAGTAAGCCACCTTCCCAGCCTGAGCTTGAAGTTCTTTAATCCCATTAACATTACCACTCAGAAGCTGGTGACTGGTAGCTCACACCTATAATCCTACCTATTCAGGAAGCTAAGATCTGACAATCATAGTTCAAAGCTAGCCCAGACAGGAAAGCGTGTGAAACTCTTTATTTCTAATTAAGCACCAAAAAAAGCCAGAAGTGAACTATGGCTCAAATGATAGAGCACTAGCTTTGAGCGCAAGAGCTCAGGGACAGCATCTAAGACCTGAGTTCAAGCCCGGGACTGGCACAAAAAAGAAAAAAAAAAAAGCCAAGTTAAGGTGAAAGATCCTGAATTCAAGTCCCAGAATCAATACAAAACAAAATCAAAAAAAAAAAAAAAAAAACACTGCCGGGCGCTGGTGGCTCACGCTTGTAATCCTAGCTACTCAGGAGGCTGAGATCTGAGGATCGAGGTTCAAAGCCAGCCCGGGCAGGAGAGACCGTGCGTGAGACTCCTATCTCCAATAAACCACCAGAAAACCGGAAGTAGTGCTGTAGCTCAAGTGGTAGAGCGCTCGCCTTGAGCTGAAGAACTGAGGGACAGCACCCAGGCCCAGAGTTCAAGCCCCACAACCGACAAAAAAAAAGAAAAAATTAAAATTAAAAAAAAAAAACCACTAAGGCCATAATTCCTTTAGGACAATGAGTTTCACAGTAACATTATTCAATAATGATGATGACAATGCTAAAGATAATGAAGAGTAAGCCTTTGGTTTTGAAAGGTATCTCATCTAAGGAAGAGGCTTGGCACAGGACACGTGTGCGCTGCCCCCGTGGCTGCTAAGAACTTCATGTGACTAGGTAGTGCACTCTCCCAGCATCCATGGGAGGGAAATGGCATCACTTCTGGTTAGAGATGACAGGAAGTCCCCCTGGCTATGAGGCCAGTGGTTCAGGTGAGCACTGAGGACGAATGTGCATTTGCACAAACCAAAGCTGAGCACAGTTACTGGGGCTGAGGACACAGCCTGTTCCTGGTGGATTTGTTCCAAGTACCCAGGGGTTGTGATACCCCTGAGGCACGGCCTCTTTGGCAGGGCCCCAATCCGTGAGCCCACCCCCTCCCCCCACTCTGCCCTTGCTGCCCAATCCACTCCACTCACCGGTGGGCAAGAGGGACAGTGAGAAGGGACCTCATTCTTCTCCGGACTGCTCTTCTTCTCAGCCATGGCACAAAGTCCATTCTGCACTGCCCTGAACAGCATGGGGTTCAAGTCTCCATACTCTCCAGATGCCACCTCGATGACTGAGGACACACACATCCACAGGCTCAGCTCGGGTGTACCATCGCCACCCCGAGGCTCAGTCAGCACCTCCTTGGTGTGTGTGGAGGTAGGTGACAGGCAGATCGCTGCCCCAAGAGGACTGGGCGTCTGACCCAAGCCCCTGGGGTACACCCATCAATGCATCCCACCCCTTCCCCGGGTCCCCACTCACTGAAGTCAGCTGGGTTGTGGTAGGTGGGGCAGTGCAGGCCCAGCCCCTTCAGATAGGGGATCAGGTTGGTGACCACGCCCTTAAAGATGCACTGACCCTGGCTCAGGATGTAGAGCTGAGGCAGAAGATAGGGGTGAGGAAGACAAGGAGCAGAGGGCCCATCAGCACCTCTCCTGGCCTCCTTCCACTTCTCCATGTCAAGCCAACCTTTTTCCAGACCCAGACGCGAACTCACCTTGTCAAACATCTCAAAGAGCTTGGCGCTGGGCTGGTGGATGGTGCAGATGATGGTGCGCCCCCCTTGGGCCAGGGACTTCATGAGGGACACCACTTGGAAACAAGAAGCACTGTCCAGACCGCTGTCCGGAGAGAGGACAGCATGGGGCCAGGTGAGGTGGGTGGGGCCAGGAAGATAGAGCTGAGGGGGGAAGGGCAGAGCAGCCGCTGCCCAAGGGATGGAGCTGGCAGGAAAGGGGGGCCCTTGTAGCCGCCTCCATCTCCTGTACACCAGGCATGTTTTCTGGCATTTGGAGCTACCAGAAGCCCAGAGCCCCGTTCTCTTTAACAAGCCTCTACCAAGCACCTGTTGTATGCCAGGCACTGGAATGGCAATGATTCATAGATGAGACTGTGGTCTGGAGGGAGGGAGAGAAGCTGGCAGTTGATTTGGGGGATGGAGAAAGTGCTATAGCAACCGAGAGAAGGCGAGGCGGGAGAGCAGCCATGCTGTAGCAGGAGGTTGGAGGGCAGCCAGAGAAGGTTCCTGAGTGAATCTGAAGAAGTAAGCATTACGCTGGTGAAGGTAGAAAGGGGCAGTGTGTGGTGAAGGGCATTCCAGGCAGAATGCGCAGCATGGGCAAAGCTTAGAGGCATGAAACACATGGTTCCACCAAGCAAATTATAAGCAAATCAGTGTTATTAGAGCATAAAATACAAGACATGAGGCTGCAGAAATAGGTTCAGAGCAGGACCTTGTAAGCCACCTGGCTTTTATTCTGCAGGCAAATGGAACTCGTTGCATGCTGGAAGCAGCTTTGTCTTTGAGAAGAAAGTCTACTCTGGCTGCAGGTGGGAGAAAGACTGGCTGATGGGACTGGGAAGGTGGCTCCGCGGTAGAGCGCTCGCCCTAAGCTGAAGAGTTGAGAGACAGCACCCAGGCCCAGAGTTCAAGCCTTGTGACTGACAACAACAACAACAACAAAAATACTGGCTGCGAAAGACTGGAGGCAGGTAGATGAGAGACACTGATGATGACCTGAACACACTAGCCCTGGCACTAGCCATGGGGTAGGGGGAATCTGAAAGCTACCAAAAAGGAGGTGGAATCAACAGGACTTGGTGAGGGAAGAAGAGAGAGAGCCATCAATGGAGGGGAGAGGACAAGGATGGAGATGAGGAGTCAGCCCTTTTCTTGGCCCCAGGAGGCTACAGGCAGTGGGGGAGGGAGGCGGAGAGGGAGGAGGATTCCTGGGGGAGAACTACCTGGTTGGTTCATCAAAGAACATGACAGGCGGATTGTTGACCAACTCCAGGGCGATAGCCAGGCGCTTCCTCTGCCCGCCAGAGAGCAGAGCTGTCCGTGTGTGCGAGCAGGACATCAGGCCCAGTGCTGTCAGGATCTCCGTCACCTGAGCCACACACACACACACCAACCTAAGTCAGCTTCAGGGTCTCCACTTCCCTCAGGCACCACCCCCTTTAAATCCTTGGCCCACACTTTGGCTTTCACGCTCTCACCCAGACTCTGAGCCCCCCTGAACTCATCCCCTCAAAGGTCTCTGGCCTCGGGCCTCCTCTTCTTCACTTACCAGTTCCTTCTTCACCTCTTGTTTCTCACTCAGCTTCAGGTTGGCTGAGACCTGGGGCCAAAGAGCAGGCAAGAGAGCTACGTGTAGGAGGATACAGCCGGAAGCCCTCTGCTGAGGTGGGGTGTGGAGGGCAGGGGGAAGGATTGTAGTCAGAAAGGGACTAGAGGGAAGGGGACGGCCATCTTGCCCTCACCATCATGGCTTCCAGCACTGTGAGGTGTGGCAGTAGCATGTCATCCTGCATGATGTAGCAAGACATCTTACGGAAGGTCCTCAGCTCTCTTGGCCTCCCATTAACCAGGATCTGCCCTTTCATTCCGGTCTCCCTGTGAGGACATTGGTTGAGGGATAAGCATCAAAGCCACCTTCCCACTCCCCACTCGAGCCTTCTTCCTGAATCCCTCGCTGGTTCTCACCTGTACCCTGCCAAGATGTTCATGAACGTGGACTTCCCAGCCCCAGAGGGGCCCATGATCCCAATCAGTTCCCGGCGACAGAATTTACCAGATAGGCACTTGAGGAGGGTCTTATAACCTGCAAGTGAGGAAGAGAGGGGTCTCTGGTCATAGTTGCCGTGAATAGAGACACGCCCAAATTCCTCTTGGCAGCTGCGGCTGTCGGTGATGTACTCAGGCCTTGTGCAATGTGACAGGGCCCAGGATGGAGGAGCTGCTCTCACACCAACAAGGACTCGAACACTCCCATCCTGTCCCTCCACAAACCACCCTTGCTAATGTCAAAGTATGGGAAGCTTTTGAGAAATCCTAAGCCTCTCGAATGGGATTGAGGTCCTAGAAGACCCTGCTCCCCTCTGGGATCACAGTGGTCAGGGAGACTTTCCCACTGGTCCCTCAGAGGACAGTCCTGCTGGCTGGCTGTCCTCTGTGTTCCCAAAGCACCTGTCATCTGCCAACATGTTTTTGACTTGATCATGTCGCTCATCTTCTCCTCCCGCCTATTAGTCATTGAGTTTCCGTGTCTTACTCATCTTTCCAACCTTCACGGCCTGTCTAGCGTGTAGTAGGTGCTCAGTAAGTGTGTGTTCTCAGAGCTTTTGCCTCTGAGAAAAATAAGCCTGCCTTTTTTTGTGAATTCTCTGCCCTGCAATACTGTCTCTCCAACCCCTAACATGGCCCTGGCAAAACTTCACCCGTTATTCCTTCACTAAGAGGCAGCACATGCATAAAGACTACTGGGATGGAGTCAGATGGATCTGGGTTCAAATTCTGGCTCCATATATCCTAGGTATATGGCCTCAAGCAAGTGGCTTAGCCTCTCAAAGTTCCAGGTCCCTCATCTGTAAAATGAAGAGAATAATACCTATCTCATAGGGTTGTTAGGAAGATTTGATAACGCATATGACACAGAACTTGGCCTGTAGAGTACATTTAAAAAGTGACTGTATGGTTAATACTTGACCAATGTGTGTAGATACCTCCAATATACCAGGCTCTGTAACAATTACTGGACAAAAAGATCACAGACAGACTGAAAATACCTGTGATCTGAAAAATGGTAAATACGGGCTATCATAGAAGCACCAGGAGGCTGCGACGAGAATGCATAAAGTGGAACTGATGGGGTGGGGGGTGGAAAATCAGGAGTGGATCCATGGAGGAGGTGAGCAGGAGCGAGGGATGAATGACAGAATCCCCCCAGGCTTCAGGAAGCAAAGCTCTGCTATGTAAAACAGTCCAGGAAACAGAGGGCAAGGACTACCATGGTCACACGGTGAGGTGAGGATGAGAAAACCGAGGAGGTGTGGCTTACCTCAGCACCCACCCCTCACCCCGCCCCCACCCAGCCCCACCCTACCTCCTAGCAGAGACAATGAAAGGCCTCCTCACTTCGTCCACTGACCACCCCACCAGCACTGTGTGCTGGGCCCAGCTGTCCCCTTGGGCATGTCCCATTGGAAGGGGGGCAGCCCCAGCTTACTGTCACACTACACTCATCAATGGCCCGGCCCTGCTCGTTTCTAAGCTGGAATGGGCCAAGTGAGACCTGAGCGGCCGGTGACTCGCCAGAGGTCACACAGCATGCTCTTTACTGGAAGAAGAAGCCATAGGTTTCAATGCCCTTCCTCACTCATCCCCATGTCATGGCTGGTACACCCCAGCATATGCTGCCCGGCGCCCCACACAGGGCGCAGGGGAAGAAAGTACAGGGGTGAACCTTCCCCTCATTTAATCTCAGCCAGGCGCTGGTGGAACATGAAGCCTAGCACGAATATCATCTTCCACTTGCCTTTCACAAAGCTCTTCCACAGACAACGCAGCTGAGCTCCCCAACAAGCTGGGGTTATCATCCCCATTTACAGATAAGGGGAGTCAGGCCAAGAGAAGGCACGCAGCCTGACAAGGTCACACAGTAGCCAAGGGCTGGGAAGCCATGCATCTGAACTTCCACTGTACGTAACTGCTCGGCATTTGAGGGCTTGCTAGGTCTTCGCACTGGAAAGATGCCGCCAATGTTTTAATTTTGTCTGGGGCAATAATTCTGTGCAATTTGTTTTTGGTCAGTTGTGGAGCTTGAACTCAGGGCCTGGGTGTTGTCCCTGAGCTCTTTTGCTCAAGGCTAGCACTCTAGGACTGGAAATGTGGCTTAGTGGTAGAGTGCTTGCCTGGCCTGCATGAAGCCCTGGGCGTGATTCCTCAGTACCACATACACAGAAAAGCCACAAGTGGCACTGTGGCTCAAGTGGTAGAGTGCTAGCCTTGAGCAAAAGAAAGCTCAGGGGCAGTGCCCACGCCCTGAACTGAAGTCTCAGGACTGGAAAAAATATACATACATACATATACACATACATACATACATATACACATACATACATACATATACACATACACACACATATTAGCACTCTACCACTTTGAGCCACAGCTCCACTTCCAGTTTTTGAGTGGTTAATACGAGATAAGAATCCTACAGGGACTTTCCTGCCCAGGCTGGCTTTGAACCACTATCCTCAGCTCTTGGCCTCCAGAGTTTCTAAGATTACGGTACGAGCCACCAGCGCCTGACTGATCCTCTGCAACTTTGTCAAGTCATTAAATCTTTTTTTTTTTCCTTTTTTTTTTTTGGGTCCGGTCGTGGGCCTGAACTCTGGGCCTGGGCGCTGTCCCTCAGCTCTTCAGCTCAAGGCTAGCACTCTACCACTTGAGCCACAGTGCCACTTCCAGCTTTTTTTTTTTTTTTCTGCATATGTGGTGCTGAGGAATCGAACCCAGGGCCTCATGCATGCAAGGCAAGCACTCTACCACTTAGCCACCTTCCCAGCCCCTTTTTTTCCTTTTTGAGGTGGCAGGGTCTCACTATGTACCCCAAGGTGGCCTTGAACTCAGAATCCTCCTACCACACAAGGGCTGGAATTATACACTCAGCAAGTCCATCTTTAATCCTCTAATTTCTTATCCATGAAAGAAAAATGGAAGAAACTCCTCCTGAAGACTTACTAAGGTTATTATAAATATTTGGTGACATCATTAATAATAGGAAAGTGTTTTGAAAAGTAAAAAAAAAAATAAGATGTGTGTGTGTGCGTGCGTGCGCTAGTCTAAGGGTTTGAACTTAGAGCCTGGGTACTGTTGCTCAGTTTCCTTTGCTCAAGGCTAGTGCTCTACCAGTTGAGCCATAGCTCCATTTCTGGCTTTTTGGTGATTTATTGGAGATAGTCTCATGGACTTTCCTGCCTAGGCTGGTTTCAAACCTCAATCCTCAGATCTCAGCCTCCTGAGTAGCTAGGATTACAGGTGTGTGAGCCACTGCCACTCAGCTTGAAAAATAAGAAATTTGACTGACAGGGACAAATCCTACCTGGGAGAGGCAGAAGTCTCCCTCCCTCCGCATCTTTCTCACCCTCTCTGCTACTCCTAATTGCTTTCTGTTCTCCCGGGGAGAGAAGTCACAGGAAAAGGGAGGTCAGAGAGAGGAGGACAGAAAAGAGGATGAAAAGATGGAAGATGGACAATGGACAGAATAGGGTTAATCAAGTCAAAAAGAGAGGTGGCCCTGGCTGGTGGCACCAATATGCAGAAAGTATGTAGAAGCAACCAGAGAGCAGGCTTTTCTAGTCACATCTTCATTTCACCATAAAGTTATGAGGCAATTAGAGGACTAAGAAAATAGCAAGGACATCATCCTCTCGCCTAGAGCAGGTCTCAGGCCTGAAAGAGGCTGCTGAGGCAGGGAGCCCAGACGCCTCAGCTTCCATGGGCCCTGGGACCTCCTGGTTACCTATGAGGATGAATAGAGAAGGCGCAGACCGTGCATGTTCCACCCTGCTCGCAAGCACCCCAGTCTTACTTCTTAAATCTCAGTCAAGGTCCCAGCTCCGCCTCTGACTCACACTCAGTTCCGGGACTCTCTTTCCCAGCTTAAGCTACCCAGAGGAGCAGAGCAGGGGACTGACTGGTCAGGGTTGAGGGGACCCCATCCTGATGGGAAAGGGAGGGGAGGAAGAAGCTGTCATACTGAGCTCCTGTTCAGCAATGCCACTCACTAGCCGTGAGATACTGGTCTAGTCCATCAACTTCCCTAGGGCCCGGTTTCCTTATGGGTAACAGGAGGATGACATCCATCCTGCCAAACCTCCATCCTTCCCGCCTCAGAAGGGAAGAAGATGGCAGGAATGAGACCATCTTTAAGAATAGGTGCAGGGGAACGGTGCCGGGCGCGCGCCTCCAGACAGAGCGGCCCCTCTCGGGGCGGGCCCCACAGGCAGGAATCCTCCAGAAATAAAACAAAGACAGAAGAAAACTCAAGGACCAGAGGTCACGGGGCGGGAAAGAGAAGAGAGCGCCCCAGTAACCAAGTGAGCCTGGGGTCCCACAGGCCTGGCGGGTGGGGGCGCGGGAGCCGGGTACCCCAGCCGCGCGCACGGTCTGTGCGGGGCGGGGCGGGGCCCGCTGGGGCCGGACGTGCAGGATGCGGGGTCCCCAGGCCTCGTCCTGCTGGAGAGGCAACTTGGAGAGGGCCCCCCGCCACCCCCCCCCCGCCGGGCGGCTCCGTACCCCGTTTTCGCCAGCAGGGCCCCTCCCGCACGGAATAGGACAGCTCCACGAACTCGATGTCCACCGACGAGCGCTTGGGGAGGTGGGAGAAGCGCTGGGCCTCGGTGATGTGGTTCTCCACCTTCTTCAGGTGCGTGGTCAGCACGGGGGGCTCCGCCCCGTCCTCCAGCGCCACGGCCATGGCCACGGCCCCCGGCCCCAGTCCACAGCCCGCGGCCTCCAGCGCCTTCTCCGCCATGGCGCGGCCGGCCTGCGGGGAGAGGGCCGGCTCGGTCCGCGGCGCGACGCCCCCGGCCCCCCGCTCCGCGCGCGCCCGCCAACGCCGCCCACCCCGCCCTCCCCTCTCCCCGACCCCGGGGTGTGTGCACCCCGCCGCCTCCCCGGACCGCCGCTGGGGGAAGCGGCGCCCAGCCCCGACCTCTCCTGGGTGCTGGCGGCCCCCCTCCCGCGGCGGCTCTAATCTCCTTACCCCGCAGGCCGGAGGCCCGGGGGCGGGGGGGGCGGGGGGCGGAGGGGCGGACGGGGGGCGGCAGGGGGGCGGGGGGCGGCAGGGGGGCGGGGGGGGGCGGGGGGCGGAGGGGGGGCGGCAGGGGGGCGGGGGGCGGCAGGGGGGCGGGGGGGGCGGGGGGCGGAGGGGGGGCGGCAGGGGGGCGGGGGGCGGCGGGCGCGGCCCGCGGGGTCCGGGGCGCCGGGCGTGCGCGCCGGGCCGGGCGGAGGCAGCGCAGGGGAGGCTCGGGCCTCGCGCCCGGTCCCCGCGGCCCGGCGTCCCCCCCACCCCCACCCGGGCTCCCCGCAGAGACAGACGCGGGTCCCCGCCGGGGTCCCCGCCGGGCGCCCGGGCGCGGGCTGGACCCGCTCTCCCCCGCCCACCTGATCACCTTGACGCCTGCGGGCCGGGGATGGGGGAGACTCGGGCCGGGCGCTCCTCGCCGGCCTCGGGCTGCGGCACCGGCGCCCCGGCTCCGGGTCCCGGTGGCCCGGGCCGGGGCGGGGCCGGGGCGGGGCGGGCAGCCGGGGAGGGCCGGGCCCCGGGTTCGAGAAGACAAGGCCGGGGAGGGACCGCGGGGGGTCGCGCCCCGGCTCGGCTCGGCTGCGCGCGCCCCGCTCCCGAGCCCGGTCCCCGGCGTCCCGGTCCCCGCGAGCCGGCGGGCGGGCGACCGCCTTCTCCGAGCCGCCGCTCGCGGGTCCCGCGGCTCTTAAAGGGCCCGCGCCGCCCCAGTGCCCGCGGGGGGCGAGGACGGCCGGGCAGGACCACCCCCCGCGCCAGGGCCTCGGGGATGCCTTTGTGGACCCGGTTAGCGGCGAAGGGTCGGCTGGGGACGCGGGGGGGGGGGGCGGTAAGTGAAGGAGAGCAGGGGTCACACGGGGGGCGCCGACAGGATGGACAGTAGGGGCAGTGGGGTGCAGAGGGCAGCACCCTCAGTCTCTGCCCACAGCGCCCCCCCCATCCATCTCCTCAGCTCTGGTCCAAGGCGAGGCCTCGCCCTCCCCCAAAGGAAGGGCTTGGAACAGCAGGACGGGGAGTCCTCCTGGGGGAGGGTGCAGGCGGCGCCAAGGTTAAACCGGCCCAGACCACTGCAGAAATCCGTTCCTCCCCACTCAGGCCTCCGCGGGGCCGGCCACGGCCACGGACACCCACCCGAGGGCGTCCTCCTCCACCCTCCGCACGCTCCGTCCCCAGCGTGCGCCCAGGGTCCCCGGCCACACGCTTGGCCCCCGCTTGCCCCGCGCTCTTCGTGTCCCCTCGGTGAGGGGAGCAGGAAGTTCACACCTGTCAACGCAGCCGAGGAATGGCAGGGAGGCTGCCCGGCCGCGGGCATGGCTGCCGCCACCCCGGCTGGTCTGGGCTGCGGCAGGGAGAGGTTACTAGCAGTCAAACCTTCCTCCCTTCCCCTGCCTCTCCGTTCAGAAGTCCAGGATAGGCCCCACTCTGTAAGTGTGAGGTGTGCACGGATGGGCTTGACATTCAGCCTTTCTCTCTTCTCTCCACTTCCTGCACCCAAGTCACCGCTTCCCTCAGAAGAACCTTCCTAGTCTTCGGATGGGCCCTCCATCATCCAAGTTAACCTCGGATACTCCACTATAGACTCCCAGATACCTCAACTGTTGCTCTGTGTGTGTGTGTGTGTGTGTGTGTGTGTGTGTGTGTGTGTGTGTGTACACATGCACGTGCCAGTACTCGAGCTTGAACTCAGGGCCTGGGTGCTATCCCTTAGCTTTTTCACTCAAAGCTAGTACTCTCCTACCTGAGCTATAGCTCCACTTCTGGCTTTTTAGTGGTTAATTGGAGATAGTGAGTCTCACAACTGGCTTCAAACTGCAATTCTCAAATGTCAGCCTCGTGAGTCACTAGGATTACATGTATGAGAGTGACCAGTACCCAGCTAGTTGCATCTATTAAGCAACTACTATACAGCACATATTTTCTCATTTAATCCTCTTTTTTTTTGTTGTTGGTTGTGGGGCTTGAACTCTGGGCCTGGGCACCTTCACTGAGCTCTGCAGCTCAAGGCTAGTGCTCTACCATTTGAACCACAGCGCCACTTCTGGTTTTCTGGTGGTTAATTGGAGATGAGTCTCACAGATTTACCTGCCTGGGTGAACTTTGAACCATGATCCTCAGATCTCACCTACTTTTTTTAGCCCTCTCCTCTCCTACTGCTAGCCCCATTAACAGATCCTGTTTTATGTTACTTTTTTTTAAGTGCATATTAATTGTACCACGGGGTTTCACTATGTATACATACATACATTCTTTTGATCAGAATAACCCTTTCTATTGCTTTCTCCATCACCTCATTTTAATAAAGCAGATCTGTTTTCCCCTCCCAAATACATCTCTCATTCTAGAACACACAATCTTTCTAACCTGACAGAGGTGCTCTGAACAGGCCCTCCCCATTTGGGAGACACTCCCTGCCTCTTTCCTGCACCCTCTTCTAATCCCTGAGAATTCACTTTCAACTCTACAGATAGACTCATGAGCAGTAGTTGTCAAATTTTAGTGCCTTACTGAATCTTCTAGAGGCTTTGCTAAAACTCAGAGTACTGGGCTCCACTCCCAGGGCTTCAAGTTCAATATTTGGCATGGCTCCAAAGGCTCTACATCTCCAATGAGTTCTGGGGGAATCAAGTGTGGTGCCAAAGGCTGTACATCTCCAATGGGTTCTGGGGGCTGCTGATGCTGCTAATCTGGGGACCACACTTAAGAGAAGTATTGCTAAAAAGAACCTTCTGTACTCAGTCTAGACTTTACTATCTCCAGAATATACCCTTTCCCATAGACATGCCCTAATGTCCAGACAATCCCCTATTTCCTTAAATAAACCTCCTTCCGTCCTCTAAGGGGCAAGTTTCCTAAGCCCAGACATTCAAGGGTTAATGACAATTGGCTTAAGAGGAAAATTCTTATCTCAGATTAGTGTTAGGGGCTAATCTAACAGACAACGTGCTGCTCTGGGTAGGGAGTTGAGAGAGAAGCAACTTGCAAGGATCCTGTGATGGCAGGTGGGAAAGAGAATGTGGTCAGGCCTCATGAGACCTGCAAAGGACTTCAACCGGGGACGTGGTGACTGGCCCCATTCTGCTCCCACCTCGCCAGGTCCTTCATTTGCTATGCCTCCTTTGCATACTGTGACTGTCCCATCTCTGGGCATCATGATTTTAGTGTTTGTCAATGAGAAGACCTCTGCTGGCCACTTGGGGAAGTGCAGCTCAGAAGCAAGAAGGTTGGATGAATAAAAAAACAGCCAGCTTCTAGCACACTTGCTAAACTACAGCAGCAAAGTCTTAAATTTCTGGGTCTAAGGAACTTTCCCTGGAAGGAGGCTCTAGTTGGGGCAAGGGGGACTGAGGCAGGAGCTTGAATCTAAGGGGATGAAAGGTTTATTTGGGGAAATGGGGAAGAGCACCTGAGCATTTCGGAAGTCCTTCCCTGACCAAGAAATCTAAACTAGTTCACCATCGTCTCTACCTTTCCCTCTCAGTCCTAATTTCCAGTTCATGCAAAGGTTGTTCTCGGATTCCCAGTCTTGAGCAAAAATTCATTTAAGTGCCCATGTTCACATAATAATCTAATATCAATTAAACAATTTATTCTCTGGAACTGGGGACAAAGCCCAGTGGTAGAGCACATATCTAACATGCACAAGGCCATTTAGTACCAAGAAAAATGTATTCCCCTTCATCATGGCTACTTCTCACCATAAACCAACTTTCACATGCACTTACCACTTCTCTTGGTTATAGACTTCCACCAAAAGAAAAAAAAAGCAGCTCTGACTCCTGGTCTCCCTGGCTTCTCTCCCCGACTACCAACCCCTTTTAGAATAACAGAGATCTTACTATTCAGACACAATGTCAATTGTTTTCAATTTCTGTAACAGAGCCTGTGAAAAATGGGGCACTGCAATTTTTTCTTTATTCATCTTGTTAAGAGGAAATTTCTTCTAGATGAAGCCTTTCCTGATTAGTTCATTGTCCAGGTTAATTTTTTTGGGGGGGGGGGGGGGTGGGTGGTGCTGGGGATTAAATCTAGGGCCTCATGCATACAAAGCATACTGTATCACTGAGCTTTATTTCTTCATTTCTAGCTTCTATTTTGACTTTTGAGCTTCTAAATGTACTCAAGATTTTTGTTGTTTTTCTGATACCAGGGCTTAAACTCAGGATCTGGACATGATCCTTAGTTTTTTGCTCAAGGCTGGTATTATGCCATTTGAGCTATAACTCTACTTCCAGCTCTTTGGAGGTAAACTGGAGATAATCTCATGAACGTTTCCTGCTAGCTTTCAAGGGTTATCCTCAGATCTCAGCCTTCTGAGCAGCTAGGAGTACAGGTGTGAGCCACCAGCACCCAGCCAATAAACTTTTTATCATTCTAATTCCTAGCCTCTCCATGCCCTTGTACTGAGTCTCTCCAGGACAGTTCTTGGATTTTATTCTTTATCTTTACCAAGTCTGAATAATGATAGTTAATATTTTTATTTGCTAATTCTGCCTATAATAGGCACACATCATTTTTCTAATAATTTTTTTTTCTTCTTCAGTGCTGGGGATCAGATCCATGGCCTGACATATGCTAGTCAAGTGCTCTACAACTAAGCTACATTCCCAACACTAAATTGAGCGCTCTACCACTTGAGCCACAGCACCACTTCCGATTTTCTGTGGTTAATTGGAGATGAGTCTCATGGGCTTTGCTGCCCAAGATGGCTTTAAACCGTGATCCTCAGATCTCAGCCTCCTGCGTAGCTAGGATTACAGGCGTTGAGCCACCAGCACACCCAGTGAGGTCCTTTTTCAGAAATCCTATTTGAACAGGTTTCTGTCCATTAAGATCCCAGAAAATATTTCCTTAACTTCTCCAGACTGGCAGAAACCATTAAGAATGGAGCAAGGTGCTGAGAAAACATTGTACAGGTCTAAAGAATGATTCTTATTTTGAAAGGTTTCAGTCTGTCTGTATGTTGGGGGGAGGGGTTGGATGCGTGCCAGTACCAAGGCTTGTACACTAGCTCTAAGTATTTTTTCCTCATGGATGATGCTCTAGCCATGCCTCCAGAGCAGCATTCTGCTTAATGGGAGATAGTCTCTTACAGACTTTTTTTGTGGGTCGTAGATCTTCAACTCTGGGCCTGGGCACTGTCCCTGAAGTCTTCAGTTCTAGGCAAGTGCTCTACCACTTGAGCCACAATGCCACTTCTGGTTTTCTGGTGGTTAATTGGAGAAAATCTCAAGGACTTTCCTGCCCAGGCTCGGCCTCCTGAGTAGCTAGGATTACAAGCATGAGCCAGGAGCACCTGGCTCTTAGGGACTTTTCTGCTTCAGCTGTCTTTCAACCTTGATTTTTAGATCTCAGTCCTCCTAAAAGCTAGGGTTATAGGTGTGTCACCAGCACTGACTCAAGGTTTCAATCTTTTTTAAAA